TGTAATTTTCTTCTTTCTTCTTCCTCTTCGATGTCATTCTACCGAAATATGTACAAAAAAACACACGAATTTGTTCGATGTATACACGTGTTATTCACTTTATTAATTAACGATAGCAATACGATTTGTTCACTGTATATACGTGTTTTTTTATTATCAACAACTACTGATCATAAAATTTGAACGTTTAACCTCGTCTAACATGGTCGAAACTTGGTACCATCATACCAAGCGGTTGTTAAGTTGATCTCTCTCTTTCCCTTTGTATTTTGTTCCAAATTGTTGGTTTTATAAATCAATTGGTCAAATAGGGAAGTATACTTTGACAAAAAAAAAAAAAAAAAAGAAAAAGGGAAGTATACCAATAGGATTAGTTACGAACTTTTAATTAAGAGTCCGAGGGACATAACATGTCAATAAAGAAGCAGTGAACTGTGATTTATAGCAACTAGTTAAGTACCCTCTTATACTGTGAGATTGTAGCAGGTTTTATTTGTGGGTATTTTTCCGATCAATTCATTGCGAAGAATGATGCACAACTTTCATCATGCTTAGATAATTTCACTTCATGCTAAAGTAAACAAAATACGTGTGACTACGTCGTGTACTATATATATATATATATTTAATTTCTTTTATTTAATTAATTTCATCTTTCAGTCGAAAACGTAGAGCGCAGGAAGATTCGGTCGAATGCAATGCACGTCAACCGTGAATCACATCCGAGGCCAAATGAAATTAGGGCATAATTTGAAAAATAATCTCCAAATAGGTATATTGTTATTATTCCCCTGGTGGGTCCGCGTTTGCTCCAAGATTGCCATATGGCGACAATATAGACGATACAGTCACATCATTTAGCAACCATTTCTGTATTAATTAATTAAATCGATCAAACATTTAAAAACCATTTTACATTAAATCTCTTCTTTTTTTTTTTGTTTTTAGTCAAACATTAATCTCAATTGACTAGTCAAAAAATGGCACACAAATACCTTTTGATTTCCTGCTGAAGTGGGATGGAGTTCAACAAACTACAATTTTCCAAGGAGTTTACTATCCACACTCTTTTTTACTTCTCACATATTTTTTTATTAATTTTTATTTTTCGATCTTCTTTAATTCATTCGATCTGGTGGTCAAAAATTAAGAATGATGTGTGAGAAGTAAACAGAGGTATGTGGATAGAATACCCCTTTTCCAAATAGCACGATAAACTCAAATTATTTTTTGTAATATTATCTTATTAAATATTACAAATAGCGCGATAAACTCAATTTTTTATCATGACCTAATTGTCCTATAAACAACATACTTAAAACTTCCAACAACAAAAAATAAACATAAAACTAGCTCTAGTACAACTTTTTTAATATTTTATGTTGGTTGTAACAGAAAAAAATGGTGACAGAAGTCCAATTTTGAACATGTTAAAGACATAAGTTTACCACATAAGGGAAACTTAAACATTTATCTTCCATCAATATTAAAATTGCTCAACTAATTCCTTAGTTTGATTCTGCAAAAACAAAGAAAATAAATCTAGCTAGGATGGATCCAAAGTGGTTGACCATGACATGGATCCTGGATCTTGACAAGTTTGATGGCTTCTGATTGCTAGGGAAGTTTTGCCGAATTTCTAGTATATTTTATTAGTTGATAATTTTAGTTTCGTTTTTATGCATATTTGGCCTTCCTCATCTATCCGGTTGATGGCTAGCACGCTTTGGTTTCGGTGTTCACTAGATATCGGGGTTGGGGTGTGTTAGAGACTTTCCATTCAAGGTTTTTTTTAACGAACAAAGATGAGTAGAAACTCCTATTTAAAACTCTTAGTGTTTTAATCATAGAATTTTGTGCTTATGATCAGAATCATTCATACTATGGATCACATTGTAAAGATCATCTATGCAAAAAATAAATTAAAAAACTAAGATTGTTTAGTCAATCTATTGTAGCAAATAATTAGACGGTTTATAATGTTTTTATCAATATTGTTCATTTGTTTTTAAACAGTTTGATAACTAAACGACCTTAATTTTAATTGATTTTTTGCATAGCCGATCTTTATAGATGATTTATAATATAAACTGTTCTGATTATAAAAACGAAGTTCTATAAATTGATAACAAATAATTTTGAGAAATTTTAAGTATGAGTTCTTACTCATCTTTAAGTAGTCAAATATTATTCTTTTTTAACAATTATTATCTTCACAGCAGCAATAAAATTGATTTTAAAAAGAAACACAGCATTCCCGAACTAGCCTCAATCCAATCCAGGAAAGCAAAAAAATTCGATCCGTATATTGACCCATTCAAACTAAATTTTGCGAATAATTTAATTTAGGTCTGTCGCCAAAAATGTCATCATGTGGCCCAATATGCCTCTACATATAAGGAACAATAAGAAGCAAATTTTGAACATACATCTAAAACCTCAGGACCTGCAGTTGAGACAATCCAATTATTTGATAAATTATTTTAAAACAATTCAATTAAAAATAAAAAAAAAATTAAGAATCTTAATTTATTCAGAGCAGCCATCGATCATTAACAACTGCCTGATGCGTTTAGCGGGTCAGCTGTTTCTTTCCTCATCTTCTTGGATTGTAATTCATCTCCATGTAATCGCATCTTAAATGCATTCCAAATCCTTGAGCAATATTTTTTTTCTTCATATAATTCACAACATATATATAACTTTCGAGATGTAATGAACAAGGAGTGTGTTAGGTTTACGTATGATTTTCACAATTGCATGTTATTCCAATTTTGAGATCAGAATTTCATAAACTCATGCTGAATTCGGTATTTTATTGGATTATTTCTTAATTTTAAAATTATGAGAGTTGTATGACTTCATCTATATACCAAGATGAAAAATTATATAATCTCCTTGGTAGTTCTCAAATTCTCATTTTTTGTATGTAGTATATTCAAGGGAGTTGTAATTGAAAAGATAGTTATCCATTTGAGCAAGAAGTATATTTTGACAAAAAAACAAGTTAAGAAGTATATATAGAGTTATGCAAGTTTTAGAATTTCAAGTTGGATTCGGATTATTAAACTAAAATATTCTTAATATAATTACATTAAATATTCTCCAAACCATTTAGCTTGTAAACAAAGGAAAAACATTGATGGATAGTTGTTGACCCTAAAAAATACCAAGCCTATGTGGTGCGCAGACCGAGTAACTAATGAACTAACTACAACATTCGGTTATGTGCGGGGCGTACCAACTCGACAATCGAGCTCGGCCAGAGAGTAAAATATGTTGATGTCGCGTTGAGCGCGCTGCTGACTTCTTGATCTTGCAACTGTGGCCGAAGAAGGAACACGTCTCGGCCTTCGGGTTCTAGAGCCTGAAGACAAAGTTGCTAGTTCTGCGAAGTTCACAAATCGTCAGCACCAGGTTCGGTCACGGTGATTATATTCGTGAGAGTATAAGCACACCGAATTGGCACCAGACTATATGGACACAAATACTCAAAAGAGATGTATGTCTTGATGGTAAATGTGGTTCGGCCGTCGGAATGCCGAACTCTAAAGTGTACTTGTGAATATCCAATCATAAAACAACTCGACGTTTAACATGCCGAGCCTAGTAACCTGTAACACCTCATTTCGCCGAGAAGGCTGATGATATGACCTCTACCAACAAGGACTTGAAAATCTTTGTCGACCGAGACTTGGATAAATAACCAATCGGTCTCAAAGCAGTGATGTTTATCCAAACTGAAGATGTCGCCGGTTGCCTTCACAGTGTTGTTTATCCAAATTGAAGATTTGTTGGCAAGAAGAAAAGGGAAAAGAATAAAATCTCAAAGGTTGTTGAGAAGCTTTGCGCGGGGCAATTTGTGTGTTGAATTGGAGGGCCTCGAATGATGCACTTCCTTCTCTATTTATAACAGCAAAACCCCTCATAACCGAACTAGAAATGTACTCGGATTAGAACTCCTTAACCCAATCTAATGTATTTCTAGTTCGGTTATGAGGAGTTCTAATCCGAGTACATTTCTTGGTAGACTTTGAACCAAGCTCCATAACAAACCAGATTCATCTCCTAATCCCAAGCACCTTCGGCTTCAAAACTCCTTGTTCCACAAGGAATCAACTACTTCACCCTTTATCTAAACTAATCCTCTTCGCAACAGGATTCGGCCTCCCCTAACTGGATGGTCCACAAGAAAATTCTAGATAAATACCATTGGGCCGAGAATAATCCCAGGCTTGGCCAAAATAACATTTTGGGCCCAAACAATAGTTTTCAAATTAATTAGGCTTTAATATTGTATTGTAAGAGTGATATTCTAGTAATTTATACTAAAGCTAAGTGCTAACTAGCTGTTCTTGGTCTGGTATTAACTCTCTTTTTATTGTTAGAAGTGGTCTTGAAGTTTTAATTTCTCCTACACCACTAATCAGTAAAAAAAATACAAATCGTGAACAGTACTACCAAGAAATCATATGCCATCAAATGTATTTGTAGGGCGCCCTAGAACATTGCTCTCCTTCCCTACACTCAAGTTTAAATTTTCATTCTTGTAATTTAAATAAATTAGAATATTGCTCAAATAAAGAGAAAATTTAGAAATCAAACAACCAAATCTCTATTAAATAGTTTTCATTAGTTTTTATATATTCTTAAAGTAGTTTTTATAGTATTCCGCACGGCACGTCTTGAGTTTGTTTCATGACGCTACACTTCGGTAGTACTTCATGTGCGTGTCTAGTGTAAGACTTAGAAAACTAATATTCTGGCAAATAATATAGAAGAAAATCACTACCTGAATGACGTGGGGGGTTCTTGGCTTGTTGCATGTTAACTTTTTCTGTATGTCTAGGATATGCCGGCCATCCCTTCCATACCGAACAACTGCCAAAATTCTGCTCTGTCATGCGGCCACCCCCTTTAAAAACAAACTCTATCTCTTCATTACCACTCCCCTTCATCGTTTTCTTTCCCTACCAATCTTACTGAAACTAGAATTTCAAATGGCTGATGGCATTGTGAATATAATCCAATCCCACCAACCTTGGATTAATTACCCCAACCCTAATGTCAATGACTTCGAAAATAATCCCAACTCCGATCCCAAGCCCGTCGAGAACCGGTTTATAAACTTGGAGAGGAGCGAACTATCTCTGTGGGTGGAGCACATCACAAAACAGCTCATCGACGACTTGCCAGAACCCGCCACAGCCGCCAACACCGCCGCCAATGACACGTTACAGACGTCTGAGGACTATTTTGTCCCGTCATCACTTTCCACCGACTTAAATAGTCCGAGGAAAGTCCCACGGAGAAGCTATGGTGAGCATGAGCTTCATGAGCTTCAACTCCTTGCAGATAATAATAACGTAAGAGCAAGAGGAGGAAATGATATGAGTAAGCTCGAAGAGCATGGCTTAACCCTAATCACCCTTCTCTTCGAATGCGCAGTTGCCATCTCCATTGACAACCTCCCCGAGGCCCATCGGATGCTCCTCGAGCTAACCCAAATGGCCTCTCCGTACGGGCCATCATGTGCTGAGCGCGTGGTGGCCTATTTCGCCAAGGCCATGGCTAGTAGGGTTATCAACTCATGGTTAGGCATTTCCTCTCCATTGGTCAATTACAAAAGCGTTCATGGTGCTTTTCAAGTCTTCAACACCATCTCACCTTTCATCAAATTTGCCCACTTCACTTCCAACCAAGCCATCCTCGAGGCCTTTCACCACCACGATAGGGTTCACATTCTTGACCTCGACATCATGCAGGTATATATGGTTCGAAATTTCGATAGTACTTTACGGATAATACTTGCCTCCTTCCATTAGAATTAGACATTCCTACAGTCCTACTAATCACAGTTTAATGTGCTCATAATATTTTCTTTTTATATATTTAAGAAGAAATTAGCTTTCCATCCTTATTTTTTCTACTCCATTGATTAAAACTTTATTCATTTTCAAATTTTGATCAAGGTCCTTCAATTTTAATAAACGTCATTAATTATTAAAAAACAAAATATTTACATGTCAAGATAATCAAGTTTTATTTTTAAATATATTCATTTAGTGTTAGAAACGTTACATTTGGTATATTATATTTATGGCTAAACTTTTTATCATATATTTCTATTTCTAGTTTGTACTCATTTTTAATTTGCAAATCTATTTTAAATTGTGCCAATTTTTTTTTAAATTTTAATTTGTACCCATATATTGATTTCTTTTTGTCCCTTATTTTTTAAACTTTTATTTGTACTCATAATTTTTTAACTTTTTATTTGTACCCGTAATTTATTTATAATGTACCCATTTTTTTTTTACAAATGTACCACTTTGTTATATGTAAAATGTATCCCTATTTATTTTTTTTTTTTGTAAGTACCATTTTTTATGTAAAAGTACCCATTTTTTTTTTATGTAAAGTCCATTTACTTTTTAATCTAAAATGTACCAGTGTTTTTCTAATATAAAATGTACCCACATTTTTATGTAAATGTACCAATTAAATATATATAATGTAGCCAAATTTTATTATATAAATGTAGTCATTTTATAAAAATAAAATAATAAAATAAAATCCCATTTTTTTATAATCTAGAATGCACCCATAAGCAATTATTTTTTTTTTTTTTTATCAACCCATAAGCAATTTTGAATAATTAAATTGGTAGTGTAAATGAAAGAAAAAAAAAAAAAACGGTCGAGTCTTTCTTGGTATTTTTGCAATTCTTTTATTATTATGTCATTTACGTAGCAGGAGAGAGACTTCAATAAAAAATCTAAAATGCATAAGGTTTGAGCCTATAACAATTAGGGATCAGAGACCGCAACTAAACTATCCCTATATTTAATGAGTTATTTTTGCATATACGTCAAACTGTAATTTTGCATAAACGAGTTATTTCTCTCGTGTTATATAATTTTAACTAACTTCGATGTAAATTGTGTGCAGGGTTTGCAATGGCCAGCCTTGTTTCACATTCTCGCCACACGCATGGAGGGTCCTCCGCATGTGAGAATGACCGGCATGGGCACATCATTGGAAATCCTGCTGGAGACCGGAAAGCAACTCTCAAGTTTTGCAAGGAGACTCGGACTGTCATTCGAATTTCTTCCAATTGTCAGGAAAGTTGGTGAGGTAGATGCTTCCATGGTCCAAGTACAGCGAGGGGAGACACTCGCCGTGCACTGGCTGCAACACTCGCTGTACGATGCAACTGGCCCCGATTGGAAAGCGATGAGATTCATTGAAGAATTAGCACCAAGGATTATCACGCTAGTAGAGCAAGACATGTCACATAGTGGCTCATTTTTGGACCGTTTTGTTGGATCGTTGCATTACTACTCGACGATGTTCGATTCATTAGAATCATACTTGCCTAGTGACAACCCTAACCGGCACAAGGTGGAGCACTGCCTGTTTTATAGAGAAATCAACAACATATTGGCGATTGGAGGGCCGGCGAGAAGCGGTGAAGACAAGTTCCGGCAGTGGAGGGGTGAGCTTGGGGCCAGAAGTGAGTTCATGCAAGTAGGGATGAGTGGGAATTCAATGGCACAAGCACAGTTGATATTAAATATGTTTCCTCCTACACATGGTTATAGCCTTGTGCAAGGAGATGGCACTATTAGGCTTGGGTGGAAGGATACTAGTTTGTATGTTGCTTCTGCATGGACATGCTTTCATCCTCCTAAGATATAATTACCTAATTTTTTATACAAGCAATATTGGAGAGGGTCTGAAGGAATATCGAACGTAGGATTTATATGGGTTTTTTTTTTTCCTTCCTGTGAAATGGTTGATCGATTAATGACTTGCTTTTACCTGACAGTCTGACATATTATGCTGCCATATTTTCAACAGACTTGTTCAATGGTTAATTGAACGTAAATCACTTGTTTATTTTAATTCGTTTTGTATTTAAAAAATCGTAGAAACCTGTTATTAGCACTCCATAAAAGTTCATTATGCACTGCTAGAATCCAATAACATCTCGCAGTTGTTCAACATTTTTTTATTCTAATTAAATCGGTTAAATATTATTTATTTGGATGCAGGGTGCCTTGATGCCGGCAAAAATTGTTGCTCATGAAATGTAGTTCGGACAAGTGGCCCTTTACCCCAGTCGTAAAAAGGAGTTGAGCCCTTGTATGACGGCATGAGATCAAACCCCATCGGTGGTTAAACTAACTTCTAATCTAATAAAATCTATCATCTGACAAAAAAAAAAAAAAAAAAATGTCATTCGGACAAGGCCTATGTGAAAGATGCTGTGAAGATGGTGAGACACCACCAGCAGGTTTGCCTCCCATCGACATCGGTGCTTGAAAATTCAATTCGCAATCGTTTTCGAAATAAAATCACGGCAGAGACAAAATTCGTGAAGGTCGATAGTTGCGAAGAATACAATACAATGTAATACAATACCACATCCGAGGTGAATCCCAAAAGTGAAAGCTCACATTTGTTTATGTTTTGTGCTTTGCTACCCATGTAACCAGACAATGGCAGCTCACGGAAACGTTTCATTCAAAATCTTATATTCTATGAACCCTAGTAACTATGACTTTACAAAATATGACACCATGCTCGGTTTTTAGAGAGAGAGAGGGCTAGCTACAAAGAAAACATAACGAAAAAATGACCAAAAAATTGTAGCTGTTTGCCCGTGTCACCAACTCGCCATCGCTTGGGTGCAAAATTTCGATAAACAAAGTTGATACCCCAGGAAAACATCTATGACTTTACGGTCTGCAAGAGCAAAGGGAGAAGAAATCCTTCAGTTTCTAAATCAAGGAAAGAGCCTCCTCTACCATGCTCACTCCTCTAGAAATCTTTTCGAAGAAGCATTTATCTGGAATTTATTTTTGTGTTTTCTTTATCTGGAGAAGGGGAATTATAATCAAGTTTTCGAAAATCTCACAATCCCCAAATAAAACATATGCCCTGGTTATGCTTTGCTTTAGATGAACACATACCTTCAGGTACTTTTTGTGAATCCTCAATGCCTCATTACATGCCTTTCTAGCATCCAGATTTCCAGTTATGCCACCTAAGATCTGGAGACCAGTACGAGATTAGTTAACAGTGAACGAAAAAGTAACATGAATGTGCATTGGAACATGAGAGAGAGAGAGAGAGAGACCGAGACAACATCATCTAGACCCTTAGCCTCCTTTAAAAGTTGCTTATTTTTGGTCTCAAGAACACTTGCAACAAGAAAGACGGAAAGTGCACCATGTCGTTCTGTGTATCCCGTCTTCACAATGTTTCTCTCGAACTTGCCATATTGCTTTAGTTCTTTGTCATTTACATTTGGTGGTGTAGCACCCCCACTCGGACCTTCATACGATGAGAAAATGTTTGGGTTGTATTCCATGGCCCACATCAGCTGAAACCAATCTATATTACTGTCTTAAAACAAGCTTATGAAGGAAAGCAAAGAATGAAAAGAAAAAAATACCCCTCAATACATTAATTACATTGAGATCCACAGGACCTAAAGTTCGAATTCACATCAGAAATTGACAACGTGAACTCAAACTATATCTCATCCATCATCCTGGAAGTATCTATTTATCAATAATAAAAAAAAAATCCAGTATGGCAAAAGTACAGTTTTCCTACTCACCTCCCAAAGATACAGTGCATCCACAAAGGAAAACTCTCTTCGGAACAGGACCATTAGCATGCGAAAAGCAAATAAATACTCCCCGCCATCTAGATCCTCTGTCAATTAGATGGAAATAGAGTCTTAGCTAAGTATGAAGGACCTGTGTTGGTCGACATGCACAGAGGAAATATTACCAAGGTGCTGATGAAGTTTAGGATCAATAGTTTTGATTACTTGGGAGAGTGTACCCAGCTGAGATTGCACCCCTATCGAACTCGCACTGCACCTAAAATTTTCTCGCTGTTTTCAAAACAAAAGCAGGAATCCGAATTATACCCTAACAGAAGCATATCACAAGCACAAATCATCTAACAAATCAATAATCATTGAAAGAAAATTGTCATTGGTAAATAATAAAAATGAACAATACAAATAATCAGCCTCAAGGCCCTCAAAAGACAACTTAACACTTCTTAGTTTCTTGTCATGCATGATCTCTATCAGAAGGGAATTAAACACACTGTCGATGAAACCAGATGAGTCTTTAGTAGATGTTGGAATCCGATCCAGTTCAGCAGAACAAAGTTAGAACTCCTTTTCCAGTATAATTTAAGGTTAAGTATGCCACATTTAACTTGACTATAAGTTTAAGAGTTGATTTAACCATTCAAACTTGCCTACTTGTAACTTGTATCTGACTTTTGACGACTAATGCTGAATCATGTTGCCTTTATATACTAGTGCAGCGCCTGACAGATTCAGCACAGCCAACATTCATGTATCTGTTGGCTAGAGAACTTCCGCTAATTATTTTTTAGGAATCCATTTACAATGTTTTATAGAGAGTCAATTTCCTAAATACTTTCTAGGTCAGCCAATCATCCATCTTAATTCTTAACACTCTGACATCCATTCTCGGTACACCTTTCTCAACTGTCCATTCTAGTCTACATGATCAATTTGAGTAGTCAGGACTCAGACTACAGAAAGAATAAGACAACCGAAATTGCTCTAGTCAAATACTAGATCCCAGTTTAAACTGGTCACACTATCCTACCAGTTCGGAATCACTCATAACAAGTTCATGGATAATGGACAGCAAAAAGTGGCAGTTAACACTGCTCTATCAAAACAAGCAACCAATAATAGTACCATCAAGGTAAGAAGTAAAACATACCAGCCTTCGCATAGCACGTTCGAAACACCAATAGGCATCTGCTTCATTTTCAATAAGAATTACCATTGGCGAGCATATATCATTCATTCCTGCTCAAAAGTGTCCATTATAAAATGTCACTTAATACTGTTCAACTTTGATAGAATATCACTTGAGATTCAGAGACATTCACCTTGAACATAACCAATATCATTGTCCAGCCAAGCATAAATTGAAAGAATGTCCCAAAGTTTTGCCTGATTAGCTTGACTTTCATAAAAGACAAGTGATCGATCCGTGCGAACAACATCCAAACCTACAAGCCAAACCCCCCAGTTGAGTAACCACTTCTTATGGTTAACATAATTTAAAATAACCATGAGATACCAAAATAGATAAAGGTTCAGAAAAAGTATTGAAAAAGAAAAAATCTAAAAGTGAACACTTAGTAAAATAAGCATAAGATATTCAAACGTGTATGGTTCACAACTTATCCAAATTATGTAGTTTTGCAACACGTATGCAGCAGATATGTACCAATTTGATGCAAGAAAAGCTTCCACTGAATCACTTTCTTGTCTGAAGAAGCATGGTTCGCACCCCCTGTCATATTGCCATTTTCTGATTCTTCTGTTGGTAGGCCATCGTCCGTGATGATTGGTGTTGTAATAAATTTTCCACTGCCAATAACTGGAACCATCTTCTGGCATTCAGCTTTCAAACTGTTATACTGCTCCCTAAAATTGTATGTTATACATGAAGTCACCATATTAAATTAAAATAATGTAAGATGGAGTCGATGGACAGCATGCCAATGGGACTTTTTTGTTAAGGGAAATAATGCAAGGGGAAACTAGAATATGAAAAACCACCTAGTGATGCCAGACTAGAAATAAAATCTTTACCCCTTCCAAGCCTCACTAACCTCACATTTCACCCGCACCCCTCTTTATCTACCAAAAAACTACAACACAGACTTAGATCTAACACCCAAAACCAAGTGAAGACAAAAAAACCATAAAACCCCATCTCGTAACCATCCATGCTCCCAAAATATATTACTCTAGAGCAATTCAAACTTAAAGAACCAGGATCTTTCCATGGATCCAGCATCATGAGGTTATGTTCAAATTGAGAGCCATCTTCTACATATTAGATTGCAAAAAACAAAAATGTATTACCTCCGGCGCTGCCTGAGCTGATTTCGTTCATCGAAGGTGCTATTTGGATCAAAGCAACCTAACAAGAACTCCCAAACTACACCTTTGATTGCAGGATGGACACCCTAGAATAACACATGAAGTAAGAATATATATATATACACTATATATCTTACACATACAATTTGAAATTTGAGTGCACCAAAGGATTATTATATGGTGTATCTAACATCAGCAAGGCTAAAAATTATATATGATGTGTTTGCTATATCCTACATGCAAAATTTAACGTCTACTTTTTTTCTTTTGTTGGGGACACAACTCAATATCACAAGTGACGAAACACACATAGAAACATAAAACAATCCCCCACCTCCAACAATAGATCCTAACTCAAAAAGAAGTTACAATGAACGGATGGTTACCCCTCGTTGGATTCGTCTAAGCACTTTAGCTATATCCAAATGACCATCTTCAGAGAAGGCAGCATGCCATCTTCTTTCACTAAGAGTTTTCCCCGCCTGCAAAAGGCGATACTTATAAGCATAAATCACACGTGTTTATCACAAGTACAAGAAAGTAATCATGTTGTGAATCTTGCGACTGAGCATTGGTGGTGCATAACCATATCTTTTCAATGGAAAAACACTAGAAATTATCTTAGCAGCAATAATTAAACTGTTCCATAAGGTGGTTGAACTCAATTCTGTTAGACAGAGCTAAAAGATAAATTAGCAACAAAATGAAGTGAAAAGGGCATGCCCTGAGCCTAAAGCGCGTCTTCGGGATGTCAACTTGGCATTCTGGTTTAACAGGATAGAAAGCGTCCAACTCAGCTGTTGAAGCTTTCTTCATAAAAAACAACGCCATTTTCCCTCGCAACCAAGCATCCAAGATACAACCAATTCAATAGCTTTTGCCTTTTCTTTGACCGAGCACCTAAGTTCAAGTACAGCGTCAGTATCACTTAAACATAAACACTAAGAAGATCACATATACTCGAAAACGAAATGAAACAAACATATGGGATCATCCCACAAAATGTCATTGTCACATAACCAAAAATACCAAACTTCCCCAACATTATATCATTTTACATAATCTTACCTCCAATGGAAAGTTTTCACATTTCAATATCTCAAACCAATTATGATAAACCCAAAATCCCCATTGCCCTTCAATGATTCATAATTCGTTCGTGATGAATAAAAAACAATAAACATTTAAGCATCTCAAGATTAAAACTTTATGACAAATTCCCAGAAACAAGAGAAACCCAGATCCACAAATCATCTTCATGTTCATTCTACACATCAAATGCATTCAAAACATCAAAAAAAAAAAAATGTAGTTTTCTAATACCTTCACTAACTGGAGTCTTAGAAATTCAAATTAGAATTGTAAACGCTGCGACCCGTTTGAGCTTTTCTTCAGGATGGTAAAAAAAATTCACAAAGATTAGAGAGAACGAGAGATGGGAGCGAAGAAGGCGCAGGAATATTATAGGAAAGGAAAGTTTTGCATCCATGTTTTTTTTTATTCACGGTAAAGGATACCTTCTATTCTTTTGAAGCGTACCACTTTTGCTTTATGTCAAACTTTTGATGAAATTTAACGTTGTTTTGTTTATTTAGGTGGGGAAAAGTGAAAACTATCAGAAAATGTGACATATTTTACGGTTCGAGTTTGTCAACGCAAAGGTTCAAAACTAAATTGAAAGTCAAAGGTATAAATAAAATGGTTATGAAATTTACAAAGCCTTAAATCTTTCTCTTAAACCAATTAAGGCTAGTTTGGTTGTGATTTTTAAAAAATTATTTCCACTGTGTTGAGGAAGAATATAATATTAAAACAAAACAGTTAAGTATTTGATAAATATTCTAGTTTAAAAATACTTGTAGCGCAAAAAGGAAAAAAGGAAAAAACAGTTTTCAAGTATTTGGTAAATTTTCATGTAGATGTGATATTATTTCCTTTTTGTAACCCATTGATTCGTCAGGAAATTGAAGGTGGCTGTCTTTTTTCCCCTAGGGTGCAAGGGTATTATTTGGTATTTAATTTTTTTTTATTCAATGATATTATTCACTAGTGTTTAAAAAAGAAAGCTAGTTTTTAAAAGTTGGTTTGAGCTGCTTCCGCTTTTTGACTTTTAATGACCGTTGATTTTGAAAAAAAAAAAAAGATTTTATCTTATTTTACCAAACACGTTTAACACCACAGATTAATTGTTTTATAAAAAATTTAAGCAATCTCAAAAAAAAAAAATGGTCGAAATCAACGTCAATTTTTTTTTTGGGTAAACGAATCAATGCCAAACTTGTACTTATTAAAGTATATAAAAATGTTAATAAATTTGACCAACCAAAGAAAATTGATACATTTTAAAACATTGGGGAACAGAAAAAAAATCAAGGGTACAAATAAAATGGTCTACATTCAAGTAGTGCATACAAAAAACACTTTAAGTGCTTTTAGAACTCTAATGCCGCTTTCAATTATTTTTCTCTTCAACTAGTTATTAAGGGTTAAGTATAAATAAGCATCGCCACTAGTACTATAGTTTAATGATATTTCTTTATTCTTCTACGGTGAGAGGTCTATATTTGACTTATTTAATCAATTTGATATCTAAATATGATTAGTTTATTGTGCGGTTGGCCAAAATACCTCTAATATCGTTATATAAAAAAATAAAGTATAAAAGGACTTGATTGTAAAGAGAGGAATGTGTAGGGGCACAAATGAAAAAGGACTATTATACTAATATTATAGCCAATAGAATTCACAAATGTAGAAATTCCCACCAAACTCTCGACCGCAGCGGATCCTCGCTCAGCTTCAACAGAACCCTATTTCTTCACATCTCCAACCCTAGCTATCCCCTCTCGCCTCTCACTCATCTTCTTCGACTCATCTGCCCCGATTTGTCCGATCGTCTGAGAAAATGCCGTTCAAGAGATACGTTGAGGTTGGACGAGTTGCTCTCGTCAACTACGGCAAAGACTACGGCAAGCTCGTCGTTATCGTCGATGTCATCGACCAAAACAGGGTATGATCTTGCTTTTTTATTTACGCAAAATGCCATTTTTCCTCAATGCATTTTGCTTCAAAGTTTTCTGCTTTACGATTAAAACGCCGGGTAAAGTAATGGGTATGTGTTTGTTTAAGAAGATGTTTCATGAATATATTGTAAGAAATAAATCAGATTTTGTGAAATATTATAGGCAGCATTTTGATGAAATTTTACAAGAAAATAAGCAGATTTTGAGTTTGTAAGTAGATTATTCTGTATTTATTATTTTGGCAAGGAATTGACAGACTTGCTGTTTGTTTTGCAGGCTCTGGTTGATGCACCTGACATGGTGAGGACCCAATTGAACTTCAAAAGGCTATCGCTCACCGATATCAAAATCGACATCAAAAGGGTTCCGAACAAGAAGACTCTGATTGCTGCAATGGAGGCTGCTGGTGAGTTTTGACTTCTGAATGAATATGGAAAGATGAGAATTTAAGATGTATCTAATTTTATTTTCTTGTTACCAACTGAATTGAGTTTTTTTCGGAATGTGGTTGGCAGACGTAAAGAACAAATGGGAGAAGAGCTCGTGGGGCAGGAAGCTGATAGTGCAGAAGAGAAGAGCTGCACTTGATGATTTTGATAGGTTCAAGCTTATGTTGGCAAAGATCAAGGTGTGTTATTAATCTCACATATTTCTTTTCTAAAAACTGAGTTTCCTCGTTCCTCTTATTTGTTTAATTTCTAGTTTTGTATGTTCATAAGATTTTCATTCAATATGTGAGAAGTTGACAAAACCGTTGAGGGTAGGCTTTCGGCGCTCACCTTCCCTTTTTTACACCTAATGTTAAGACACTGCCACTTAGGTATCGCTAGCTTTTAAATCTGGAAAGTCTGCCGGGATTGGCCTGTGCAATTTCTACCGGGAGCTAAATTATTTCTTCAGTTTCAATTGCATGGTAGTTGTTGCTCAAACCCCTCGTAAAAGGGACAGAGCTGATGCAAAGTAAAGGGATGAATCTTTTGATGCAAAGTAAATAATTGAAGTTTTAGGAAACCCGATCAGATGACTGCCTGATCGGGTTTGTACAGAGGGCTGGAATTCAACTGAACCCTCATTTGTTGGTTCACTGGTTAATTTGTTTTTGTGAATGTTGTTTTGGTTTTCATGTTTGTACAGAGGGCTGGAATCATCAGGCAGGAGCTAACGAAGCTCAAAAAGGAGAGTGCAGTCTGAACGCAGTCCCTGTTAACATGTCTCGGCGAGTTTATGTTTCGATTCGTAGTTACGAGTGGAAATTTTAAACCTTGTATGGATTTCTTTGAAATGAAACACATCCGACGAATTTTCGATCACAAATTAATCCTCCGTTGTGTTAAATCATAGTTTTCACTTTCTAAGACCTGTTTGATCTCGTTTTTAGATAGATGATCCGACTCATCTGATAAGCCTTTGGTTGTGCAGAATTGGTGGCATGTTTCCCCTGCTGCGTTGTTTTCTTATAAAGACCTATCTATGAAATTGCCCTGATCTGAATGTGAAATTTCTAAATCAGTGGATTCTTCTTCTGTCGGCGATTAAAGTTAGAACACTGCTTGGCTCCTTATGTTAAAGTACGGTTCCTCCTTGCATGCAAATCACATCTTAACGCAAACAGCTACGTTTGTAAATTGTGATTTCTGCAATGAGGAGTGACTAATTACCAAGTATTTTCCTAAAAATTATTTCCCCTAACGACATGACTAATCATTTCAAAACCTAAAAACCCATATTATAATAAGAAAATTCATAAAAAGAGTGAAAAATTTTGAATTTTTACGATAAGGACAAAATAAAAGAGGTAAAATAAATAGTACTAAGTTTGACTTTTTAGTGTAAAAATATGATTTTTCGTTGAAGTGAACAGTATCGTGAGCTTTTCGTTAAAACTCTCTATTTTTATTTATAAGCATGTTTGGCTAAACCTTGCAAAAAGACTCAAACTTGGGGTTTAGGGTAACATTACACAGCCTACACCACCTTCTTTCCCTTCTCAATTATTTTAATTAAAAAATAAAAACATCCAATATAAGAAATCTATAGACAAAGGTATATAGCAAGAGAAAGCAAAGAACATAAAATGGTGAGGGGGATGTTGGACCGAAAACAGAGCATCTGGGCAAATGTTACAAGGCACTTGGAAGTTTACTAACACCATAAGAAAAGCAACCGGCTGGTTCGAGCTGCTTGCAGAACAGCATGGACGACTGTTACCTTGACGACGATTGGTTTGTAGTACTCCATACTGATCCTCCTTGAGTTCCATGAAAGTGCAAACGAGTGCCAATCCTGCTTGAAATTTACCATTGATGAATGTTGCACGACCAAGCATGAAATTTAATGTTGAACAGGACTAGATCCACTGATGAGTGCCACGGAGTATCTTGACATAAAAGGTTCTTTTCACTGGACGAGCGACTTTGACCAAGGATCGGAAGCTATCTCGTATGCAGCTGGATAAACAAAAAAGAGTCATAAATCAGTTAACAAGCATGATTTTGCTGCTCTGCACAACATAGTCAAGCAAAACCTCCCCTTTTCAACTATTATTCATCATCTCTAAGAAAATATTAGAGAAGCATAGATTCTACACAGCACGTAACGGGCGGATTCACATTAGAACCATGTTTTGAGTCGGGAACTAAATATTTTTTGTCCTATAATTACAAAAGTTTCCTGATGAACATAGCACTTTCAGATATTTACACTCTTTTCCACTGGAACTCCATGTAAACCTCTCACCTGGAACTTAAAAAGGAGCCTCGAGTGATTCATCCCAAACTTCTACACTTCCATTAGAGGCATTCTCACCATCTTCTTCCATTGACAACCGTATATATTCTCTGTGTGCAAAGCGGTCCCACTCAGTCAAAGTTGGATCCTCACGTTCCTGCATGCATCAAAATGCCAGAACACCATTATTGTACCTGAAAATCACCCAGTACTTCTCAATTTCTCATACATAACCCTTGCAAAAATACCTGACGAATAAGAAAAGGATCGCGACTTTCAAATGCTATGAATTTATTAAGGTTGAAAAGGATATTGAAGACATTCCCTGAAAGTTTGCAACCTTTCAAGTCAGCTAGAGTGAGATAATCTTCCCTCTGCAAGAAAGATGTCAAAATTAGTCATGTCCAATGTGTGACTGATAGTAAGATACAATTTAGTAATATAGTAAAAATAACAATGATGACGAGGAGGATGATATTTGACCTCTGGTGCAATCATGTCAACTATTTGACACAAAATATCCTCGAATAGAACAGGCTCTTGGCCCATGCATTCCATACGATGCAGCTGCTCCTCATAAAAGAACTGCAACTCATTGGGCGTAAGGACTCCATTTCCATCCAAATCTATACATCTGAACCTACAATACGAGATTTGAGTAAATAAAAGGGGAAAAAAGCATGACAAAGTAAAAGATGAAAGAACACCAGGTTGGTGAATCAAGGCTTGTCCTCACAGCAATGTTTATGGTTACAGTTCACTATAGTATATGCATGACTTATCTTGAGACTTGACTCATGCTAAACATCTCATATATTGAGTTTTCGTTACAAAAAATGTCATCCTGCTCTCCTATACAAGATTCTCCGTGTTTTTGTAAATTTGGAGTGCAGGATGACTGTTTTTAAGTGCTAATAACAGCTTCAAAATGAAAAAGTGATTCATAATCTTTGAGCTTCAATGCATCTGATAATTTCCACAGAGAATGGGAGGTTACAATTCAAGCACATGAGAAAAATTTGCAAAAAAAGGGGCAAGTTTCTTTTTCAATTTACAATTATAATCTTTCACTACTGAGAAGTTTATTTTTAAATATACTGCTGAAGCGGACACTTCAGAGAGTTAGAATATTAAACCAACTTCCAAGATTTGGATTATTAAAATACAGATTTCACGTTTTTCATGTTTAGATGCATCTAACAATGACTACATCCACTTAAACACAGAGCACTGACTGCACTTGTAAAAAATAAGAATTCCATGACAAAAAATTACTGAATGTCAGAATCGAAAAAAACAAAAAAACAAGAAATGTATACCAATACTCAAGGCTGGGCTCACACGACTTATCCTCCTCTGACAACATGAAGTAAACAAAATCTTCGTAACCCATCTTCCCTTCAACCTTGCTAGTAAACTTTCTCGGAATCTGGAATGGAATTGAGCAAATACACAATCAATGTGGAAACCTCATTCAGGTAAATAATTTGTTCCAGAAGTTTGAAGAGGAAGCTATAAGATACACCAACCTGTGAAAATATTCTATCAACAATCCTGAAGGTAAGAGCATGATTACCATATCTAACAAGATTCTCTTTGTCGATCAAGAAATCGTGATCTGTGTCCAGCTCCCAAAACTTGCAATATATGACATAAAAATGTTCATAAGAGAAGTACCTGAAATTTGGCAGGAAAGAGAACATCAATAACATAGTTTAGTAGTTTAACACAATTTAGTAAAAAACATGAAATCTGGATTTCCTTTGGGAAATCTAAGAAAAAATGCTGGTAGGCTGTTCTTATGTTCCTTCTAAATGTTTCATCCACTATAACATCTTTCAGGTTAAGTTAAACAGTCAAACCATTAAAACACAGCTAAGTTCAAAATCAAAGCTTCCAAGAGTACTATTTACTCCCCTACAAACCCCACATCATTATATAGACTATATTAGTAGGGGCACACGCGAAGTAAAGAAACACTAATCGGTACTTGAATATTGATGTTCCAATGACAATCAAACCTTAGAACTTTGTTAATGTCATCTTCCTCATCTGCATGTTGCATGGCAGCAATTAAATTTCCTCGTTTTAGCTCCCTGAGAGTAAGGCGACCATTTCCTGATCTGTTTATGTAGTAAAATATTCTGTACATTACAGTTTCAGCTGAGGCATTGAAAATGAAGCTTCTGTAAGCAAATAGTAGTATGAAAAAAAAAGTGTGAGCAGTAAAAATATTCACTTAGAAAACTGAAAGGTCATCGCAAAATACAAAAAAAAAAAAAAAAAATGTGCTCGTACTGCCACAATATAATTAACTACTTGAGTCAACCATATATTTTACAACAAATTCAGTTAAACCCCTATTGTCACTTTCAGATTTCTATCCTCACGATCTTAACCAGTACATCAAACAATATTACACTAACTTCGCAGCATAAAACGAATACCATATCTTTCTTGAAATTCAGGAGTTCCATGTAAAAATTCCAACCCTGGATGGGTTGCCACAAGCTCTAGAAGAATGGGTTTGAAGTCTAGCTGCATTGAGAATGAGGACAGACAATTGAGAATACAGAATACAGAGCCAATATGTGTGAAAACAATGGTACATAACTGAGAGAAATAGGCACTTAAGTAAGAAGAAAGGGCTTCAATCAAAATGCAATTTTCATAGACCATATAGAGAAAATAGCATTCAATCGAACCTGAGTAAGGTAATTACGATCAGATTGCTTTAGAATTTTAAATATTTGAGTTGTTGTATCCATTGTCAGCATATTTCCATCGACCCAATATTTGATGAATGCATCCCTACAAACCAATTTTGTAGATCAGCATATAATAAAAATATATAGAACAAGAAGAAGTAAAAGACAGATAAATGTATGTGGCTTGTTGAATCATGGTTCTATAAGTAACAGAAGCTTGTCAACTAATGAATAAAAGAAATATAATAAAAGGTAGAAGGATCACAAATAAAATTTACACTGGGTATGGTGATACAACCAAATGAAGGACCTAACTTCCCAACAAAAAAGACATGATAAGAAGCATTTCATACTTTTAATTCACAACTCATATATTGGGGTCCCATTAAAACGAGATCTAATTGCGTTTAGTAAGCTTAATTACATTTTCCGCATACCTCGTCACTATCCCGCTGCAGCTAGTATCAATCTTTCTAAAGAGGGCAGAAGAGAAAAATGTTGGCAGCTTGCATAACTCCTTTGTAACCAACTTAAACTCTGCATAACCATAAAAATAAAATAAACTCCTTGGTTTGAAAATATTCAGTTTCACTAATCTCTGCTAGTGGACGGGTAAGGGGTGATAACGAGAGGGAATTCGTGTTTTTTGCTTTTCTAAAGGTGAATTACAGATCAGATACACATCTCACCGTGCAGTTGCAATCCATCCATCTGACCAATGAAGAGGTCATCAATTCTAGAAAGACATTGCTCCTTAAGTTCTTTGGTGGTGGTGGACCGTTTTGAAAATAGAACTGCAAATCATATTAAAACATAAAAAACTATGAGAATTAATTCTTCAATCTTGACATCATAAAAAGAACCCAGTATTCAAGTTCACATCTAAATTTCTACTTCAAAATATTTACAAATATAACAGCGGTACATTGGTACTAGTAGTAGTAGTAGCAGTAGGTAGGGCAATTAGAATGGAGTTTGACCTGAGGAATAGATTCTCGCACTGGTTCACTAACCAATTTTAGCGGAGAGCGAAGAGAAGAAGGACTAGTCTTCAGCTTTGAAAAGCGCGGAGAACCAGAGGAACTTCTCGGCGAAAGTGGAGGTGTACTTCCAGCCGGAAACATGGAAGGTAACGCATTGCTCCCAGCAGTATTTGCACTTGAAGAGTTCCCAGGGGCATTGATAGGAATTCCTGCTATTGCATCATCTACTAGAGACTTCACCTGTCAAATCCAACCGCAAAACACCATCAGATAAACATCAACTTTTCCAATACCTGAAATTACCCAATATACAGTTCTTCTGGTAATTATGTCTACCCGAATCACACATAAATACTACACAAAAACAAACCCTTGACTTCAATTACAAGAACTATTATGAGTAAGGGAAGAGTAATAACAGACATGAGGCCATAACCAATAGCGACAGCTCTACCATAAATAAAGTACTAAAGCTAACAATGGAAACCATATAAATATCCAAACACGAGCTACAAGCTATAGCTTTGAGTCCCAGAAATGCACATTGATAACAAAAACTGTACATGAAGACAGAAAAGTGAGCAAATTACCAAACGGCCGGTTTGCGGAAGCGAAAGCCACTGTGCGAACAAATCCTCAGCAATCTGGGGACTGGTTTTAAGAACGAACGGAGACAATTCCGGCAGCTGTAAGAGCTCAGGATCCAAAGAACCAACATCCCCTGCTACTGCGTCTATATCCATCGAGAATTCACCCCTTCAATTCCCAAAATCATCAGAATCACCGACTCTTCACCTCCTACCACAATCCGAACCCACTCGCTTTCGATCAATTTTCAAGCCGAAATTTTGAATAACCCTAGGTCGGAACCGAAACGAAACCGACAGTCCGAAACAGCCACTGAGCTTTTGCTCTGAATTGAAACGGAAACCCTAGGCCGGAATCCCAATTGAGATAGAAAGATGGAAGAAGCAGTACCAGTATCTACTCTCCGATGCTCTGTGAGAACGAACGAGCGAATGGACGCCTTCTTCCGACTCTGAATTCTCACTGGTCACTGCAAGTGAACTCAGACACCGCCGCGAAACCTCGCGGTTTTGGGCGGTTCCGGGAATCGGAAAACCGCGCTGTGAAGAAATCGTGTCTGAAGTGAAACTTCGGGAAGACTGAGAGGGTCTATCTTGGGCAGAGAGAGAGAGAGAGAGAGAGAGAGAGAGAGAGAGGGCTGAAAAATAGAGGGGGCGGCGAGGAGCGAGAAGATGGGCGCCACGTGGGATTTTATGTAAACGGAAACTGCCGCCGGGACCCGGAGACTCGCTTGTCCACAGTCTCTTTGACTATTTAAGTTGCCGCAGGGTGAACCCAAAGATCTCTCTTTCTATTTTCTCAACTTAAAAGGAGAGAATAATTGGTTAATATTGTTTTTTTTTTTGTTCATTTTTTGAGTTGTTTATAGTGTTCACATAAAACTAGAAGTATATTAAACACATAAGAATCTAGAATTGAAAGAAGTTGTATTTGTATTTCGTTAGTACTAGATTAACGGGGTTGAATTCATCAGCGAAGTCAGATTTTTATAAGAGTAAGAGTAGGGCAAATTGAAGAGGAGATTTGGGAGTGGAGAAGAGAAGAGGCGATATTATCCTGATTCTTAAGTGGCTCTGTGTCTATATTGGCGTACTACTAATAGAATGTTACTGTAGTAAAATGTATGGCACGAAGACAAAGGAGGAGCATTGTAAAATGAGAAAATAAAGATTGATGCCGTTTGCATAGAAGGTGCAAAGAATAGGAAGGGAAAAACAATACGCAAGCTAATAAAAAGAGAAGCTATAGGAAGCTAACTCAGTAGAGATAAAATTATATTCCAACTTGGTCTCCCCGCATCCAAATCACAATCTATTTATATAATAAAAGGAAGGGTAAAATACAAAAAATTACCTCAACTATTTGGGTCACGACAGTTTCATACCTCATTTTTTAAAATTGACAATGTCATACCGCATCTTACGAATTTGTGACAATGTCATACCTCTGTCAATTTTTTTGTTAGTTTTTCTGTTAAATGCTGACGTGGCAAGAGACGGGGACCACTTTCTATTAAAAAATTAATAAAATATTATTAAAAACTAAAAAAAAATTTTAATATTTTTTAAATATTAAAATAATAAATTAAAGTAAAATTAAAAAAAAAGGATAAAGTACAAAAAATTACCTCAACTATTGGGGTCACGACAGTTTCATACCTCATATTTTTAAATGACAATGTCATACCGCATCTTATAAATTTGTGGACAATATCATACATCCGTCATATTTTCTGTTAGTTTTCCTGTCAAGTGTGACGTGCTTGATCGGGACATAATTTTCCTATTACAAAAAATTATTAAAACTAAAAAACAATTATTTAATATTTTTAATATTAAAATACTAATTAAAAGCAGAGAAAAAAAAAAAACCATCAGTTTGTTCCCTCCCTCCCCCTCCCCCCCTCCTCCTCTCTCTCCCCATCTTCATTTTCTTCTCCCCACCTGCAAACCCAAAAAAATTAAAAAAATTAAAAAATTATGAAAACCAACAACCCCCTGCAGAAGACAAGAAGGAGGAGGAGAAGAACGAGGAGAAAAAAAAAAGGAGGAAGGAAAAAAAAAAAAATTCCCCTATCGGCGTGAAAGAAGAAGAAGGGAGAAGGAGAAGGAGGAAGAATAAGAAGAGGAAGAAAAGGAGGAGAATCCATCAACACCCCCCTACGGAAGAAGAAGAAGGAGAAGGAGAAGGAGGGAGAAGAAGGAGAAGAGGAAAAAAAGGAGGAAGGAAAATTTTCTTTTTTTTTAAAAAAAAAAAAAACCATCAACTCCCCTGCAGAAGCAAAAGAACAAGAAGAAGAAGGAAGAAGAAGAGGAAAAAAAGAAGGAAAAAATTAATTAATTTTTTGAAAACCCATCAAACCCCAAATCCACCACTTTCATCCATTCTCCATATCCTCTTCTGCACCCAAAAGTTGACGGAGGTATGACATTGTCACAAATTCGTAAGATGCGGTATGACATTGTCAATTTTAAAAGATGAGATATGAAACTGTCGTAACCCCAATAGTTGAAGTAGTTTTTTGTACTTTACCTTTTTTTTTTTAATTTTACTTTTATTTATTATTTTAATATTTAAAAAATATTAAATATTTTTTAGTTTTTAATAATATTTTAATAATTTTTAATAGAAAGTGGTCCCCGTTTATTGCCACGTCAGCATTTAACAGAAAAATTGACGGAGGTATGACATTGTCACAAATTCGTAAGATGGAGTATGACATTGTTAATTTTAAAAGATGAGGTATGAAACTGTGATGACCGCAATAGTTAAGGTATTTTTTTGTATTTTACCCTAAAAGGAACTTAATTAGACTAGTACATAAAATAAATAAGGAAGCTCAATAGGTACTGCTGTTCCCAACGTTATTAATCTCATTGGTCATGGAATCTGATGGGTTTAGTGATCATCCCCCTAGGACATTCCTTGAAATTAGAATATAGCACCTCAGACTTTAATTCTCTCAACGACTCTTCAGATTGTCCCCCATCAAAGATAGTCAAGCTAGCAATTTCAAACATAAAACATGAATTATGACAGTATAATGTAATTTGATTCTTGTGTCTGTCTGAAAGAAATGTATTTTCATGGAAATAAAGCTTTTAACATGACAAAGAGTGCGAAATACAAATTTTGATGAAATATGATATTTATTTTCGTAAGTATCGAAAATTTCATAAATGAAGAAGCTAATAATAGAGTTATCATCTTCCAAATTATAATTGATATATTTATATATAAATATGGATAGAGAATTGTTATTAGCACTCCAAACTTTATATAATTAGAATAAATAAAAAATACACGTGTTAGGAATGAAAATTAAGATTTTTGGAGTGCTAATAACAGTTCCCATGTGAATAACCATATAATGGTTTGTCTATAAATGGCACCTCTACATTAATATAGAAAGATAGGCACAAATTTTTTATTTTTTTTAACAAATGATATTATATATACTAAACGATCACGTACCTCGAAATTTGATTAGAATATTATTCATATGCCATACCTCAAGGCTCTACATGTGGCTTTTATCATTGAGTAAAAGCATCTCCAATTGGCTTCCTAAACTAAACTTCTAACTAGAAATTAGGGAGATTAAAAAAAAATCGACTCCAATCATGTTTTCTGTCCACCTCCTAAAATAAAGATTCATCTAGGGGAGAGACAAAATGAGCAAATTTTTCAATGTGTCCGGCACATTAGGTTATACACCACATGTCATTATACAAATGGTGGAATTTGTGTGTTAAAAAGTTAATAACTTAAAAAAATAAAATTTCCCACCACTTACATAAAAACACGCGGTGTATCACCCGTATTCCGGTCACAATGAATAATTTATCCTTCTAGTGACTCTTTATAATTAATGTTGATCGATTTAATTTATTTTAAATAAATAATTAAATCCTATTGTCTAATTATTGGCTCATAGTTATTATAACTCTATATTTATAATTAATTTTTATTGGCTAATAATAATTCATTTAACATAATTTTTTGATAATTTAGCTAAAACTTTGGTATAAAATAGAGGGCATGATTGAACATGTTGTAACGTAATTAAATTAGAAGGAAGGTAAGCTACTAGTGAGAGGAAAAAAGGTCGGGAAATGTCACATATATATTTAGACGAGATTTGTTAAGGAGATTTTTTCAAAAGTAAGACTCCACAAACTCTCCACCACATATGTTTTTAGCATACCGTTTTATAATGTTAACATAAAAATTAACGTTGAATTGTGAGATGACAGAAAATCCATAAAAAATCTTACATTAAGAGAATCTCCTTAGCATTTCTCATACAGTCGGCCATACCTAGATTTTCTAATCTTGCCGTGGAAATAGTAACATCACTATCATTTCGTCACTAATCTCCATTTGTGTCGTTGACCTTTGTAAAATGTATGTAAATTACAAGGAATATCGCAAATATTAAGTTAATTAAAATAAATAAAATATGAATAAGTCCTCCAATGGACCAATCCACATGGACACATGGAGGGATGTGATTGAAATTTCAGAAACCATGGAGGGTCTACTTCGTTATTTTAGCGCCAAGTCCCTACCTATATAACAAATAGGAAAACACCCTGCAGAAACCTCCTCCCTCCTTGGACCTATCTCTCTAAGCTCTGCAACTCGAAGAAGAAATCTCTGCGAGTCCGCGTGCTCTGATTCTTACAGCTTTTTGCACCATGAACATCTTCAGTAAGAAACCCACCGCCAAAGGTTCGTGCTTTCTTAATCTCTTGCTCAAATTTTGTTTTTGATTAGGATTAAGCTGAAATTCAATTATTCAAGCGCTCTTAATTTTCATATTAGGTCGGAATTATGGGTTTAATTCGTATTTTCTTAATTTGTTCGTATGGGTTTGCGTTTTTAATTGCAGAGGCTCTTCGGGAGAGCAAGAGAGAAATGACTCATGCTGCTAGAGGTAATTCATATATATATAATAATTATCTATCTATATATATATATATATATATATTCATTTCTCTGCATTTGTGATCATAGTGATCATCACCATGATTCAAAGCTCCGGGCTTTACGGTCAAATACACAGCACATAAATTGTACTGTTTGTGTCTTGTACGTTATATTGATGGATTTTTCGGTAACTGATTTATGCTCCTTTTGGACTAATTGAGGCATTGGGGTTTAGTTTTGACTTTGATCTCTTTGAATAGACACTATAGACGGGCTATCGCTCACTCGTAATCTATATCCTATTTTGATCCAGCTGGCCTATAATTATACACCCGATTGTGTGTCTTGTATCTCACCTTGTAATGAAGCAGCATTTCCTTGATTATAAATCTTTGATTGTGGTCCTTTTATTTATGTTTTTCTTCCACATTTTGCTTCAGGGATAGAGAAGGAAATCGGAGCATTGCAGTTAGAAGTATGTCAAGAGACTCCAGTCAACAACCCCTTTTCATTTTCGTGTATTCATGAACTTTTCGTTAATATATTTTGCTGCCATGTCAGGAAAAGAAGCTTGTCGCTGAGATAAAGAGAACTGCTAAAACCGGAAATGAGGTATATTTTGTGTATTCGACCATTCTCGTTAGTCCATCAATATTCGAGTGACTGTTGCAATTGAATCTTATAAGAGGTAGTCAATTTATATTCCCTCAGGCCTTTGCCTTGTATTCTGCAGGGAGCAACTAAAATACTAGCCAGGCAGCTAGTCAGGCTTAGGCAACAGATAGCTAACTTACAAGGAAGTCGAGCTCAAATGAGAGGAATCGCAACTCATACGCAGGTGAACTGTCAAATTTCTATCTCTATACGAGATTTCTTCTTTGAACTTTATATGTCGGATTTGCATGTTATGCTCTTGGTGAACTTTATTCTATCATGCAGGCAATGCATGCTCAGTCCTCGGTTGCTGTTGGCATGAAGGTGCTAGTAATGCAATGCAAGCTATGAATAAGGTTTGATTGTAGCATTGAAACAGTATTTTTGTGTAGTTTACATATTATAAATAAAATTTAAGATTGCATTTAATGCCGAGCTTTAGTTTAAAAGGCATTTTGTTAACACTGGCACTTGTGTTAGATGTAAGTAAATTCTGATAGAAGTATACTTTGTTACGTTGCTTCATATTTTCATAGTTAGGAAATTCCAGGGCTTTTTTAGCAGCTGATTTTGTGTTACATTGCAGCACATGGCTCCTGAAAAGCAAGCAAAGGTGATACGCGAGTTTCAGAAGCAATCTGCGCAAATGGATATGACTGTAAGATCAGTTCTATCTTTCAATATATTGGCACAGAATTAATTTCCTCTCTGCTTTTTGTTGCTTACACAGATCATAACTTAGAGCTTTGTTCATGCAGACTGAAATGATGTCCGACACCATAGATGATGCCGTGGATAATGATGAGGCGGAAGAGGAAACTGACGAGCTGACAAACCAGGTAAGTCCTACTTGCATTATATACTACTTTATTGTTGAGATGGATCTATTCACAGATGACGCCAAAGAAAAGGAAATGAAATCTATTTTAAGGATCTATACATGCTATGCATCTTTGATTAGATTAATTCTTATAGTTGAAGTTTTGTTAGATGCTGTGGAACGAGTTCATATGAAACTGAGAAATTGTTTAGGATCTCATTCTTCATAGATATTGTTGACTATTGGTCTTCGGTACCAGGATTGACAGAATTTCTTTTGTTAAACTTATTCAAACAGGTGCTCGATGAAATTGGCATTGATGTCGCCTCGCAGGTAGGTATCAATGGTTTTGCATTTTTGAGTTTTTGTTAGCATGTACTCTATTCCTGGCCATTCAATCTGATGTGCTTTGTATTTGATCTATTGACAGCTATCAGCAGCTCCCAAAGGAAAAATTGCATCAAAGAACGCTGCGGGTGTTAGCAGGTACAGCCTCCGATCCCTTTGTCATTGTAATTAACTGTCTGAATATTTTCACGATACATTGCCAAAATTGTTGATGGTTTGCTGTACTTGCACGTAAAACCTATAATGTTGACTGCATGATTTATAAACACCAGCGGAAAGAGCACCTCAAACAAATTGATGTCATTCGTGATACGCATTCATCATTGCAGTTTCATCTTTTTGTTTTTAGTTTGGTTATAACTTGTAACTAAAGAGTTTTTCAACTTCTTACAGTTCCAGCGTTGATCTCGAGAAAAGATTGGCAGCTCTTAGAAATCCATGAGCCGACGATTGGAAAGCAGAAATCTCTTATTTTGTTTATCGCTGGAGTCCAATATTGGCTTCCCTCAAGGATGCACATTGTAAATATTTTGTTAATGATGTTCTCATTAGCGATTATCTGCTCCCACCGCGCCACTGCATACAGAGAAGCTAAGGTTACACAATGACTTTGAAAGAGGGACGATGCCAATGTATGAATTGATTATTATATCATGAATGGAAGAGTTTCTCTTCCATATATTGTTAAGTTTACAGGACTAGATGGTTTCAATAACTATTTCGATGTTGCCGTACAATGAAACATCGATTTTTAAAGCATCATATTTCGTACATATAGGAGTCTTACCATACATTCAAGTGGCTGAGATTTAGCCGGCAAATATAGGTTCGATCAAGATTTGCTTCTCCGGAGTACCAAAAGCAAGCATGACATCATTGTGCACATAAAGTCCCAAAGTAGGGAACCCTAAAAAGAGACTGGCCTAACTTAAATGGGATACGATAGCTTCTTTATGGTCGAACATTCTTGCCAATACATTATCCCCATTCTGTTCCGGATTGTAATCTCTAATAAAAAATATAGCTCCATGAGCAAAAGCCCCTGTCATGATGAATCCTGCGATGTATTGGTGATGAGTATAAAACGCAGTTTTGGTGTCGGATTCTCTGAGCACAAATCCATCCGTTGGAATATATCGTTGTACTCTTAGAGTTTTCGTTTTCAATACCTTGCAAGTTGCCATGAGCTCTCAAGTAAATCAGGTCAAACTAGTAAACAAGGTTGTTGGGCAAGTAGACCTAGGCTCAAAGGAAACACTTGTGCAATCTGGTTTGTGGAAGAGAATGAACTGCAACAAATTTCCGCCCGTTCAAGGTCAGGCTAACACTGTCGAGTAAGTTTTTGAAATGTTAAGTCCATTACAAACAACAGAAACCGGTCTCAGAGCACGCGTATGATAAAAGAAATAGTAATTAGTACAGCTAAGAGGGAAAAAATGTACGTTTCTGATACAGTTACAATGGCCGGAAACTCTTCGGACAGGGGAAAAAGTGGGAGGAAAAGCCTGGAAATGCCGTCATTTGACATGCAATAGGATCTGTAACTGCGGTGCTCAAGTCATATCCCATGTACAGAAGGGAGGGAATTTTGTCTTTGTTTTTTGAATTTTTTTTTTTTTTCAGTACTCATCGACAGATGAGTATTATCCATAGATGACTCAGCAAAGATCTATAGTGAGATGCTTTCCATTACTTCCTGATTGAAAGGAGCTCAAAGCTCCGGAGAGGATCATCTCGGCTGCCTCTTGCAGCTGCAGAGCGCTTGGGTTCGTAACCTCTGTTCCCGGTAGATGGGCGGCTACTGCTTGAGACTAATCTGCTTGTGCGACCGTCACTGGGAGTGTGATCACCTGAGGAGCTTGGCTTACTGCTGGCCATAGCCTTTCTTGAAGTGCTGCCATACCGAGAGGAATTGCGTCCCCTTTCAGAATCATGGTGCTGAAAAAGCAACAATAGCTCTCCATAAGAATTTTTCTCACAAAAATTGCACGCTTTCAACTCGAATACTTGGGATGAATAGCATGCAAAATTAAGGGTGAGAAGCATATCATGCAAGTGAGAAGAGATGACACATTATTCCAACGAATTTAAACTACCAGGACCAAACCAGAGATGACTCACGTAAACAAAGCACTAAATTTTATAGTTTGCAATTCTTCTAAACTTGGGACCTTTCACCTAACTAGGCCAGGATTCAACTTTGCTTTTGTTAAAATTTTAAAACAAAGAAAGGACGTAACAATAAGGTCATAGAAAATCGGTAAAACATAAGTGTACGGGTAATAATTATGAAAATCAAGATATCAACTTTACATTTTGGACTTTGAAACTGATAAAGTTTTCAATGCGGCAGGACTAAGTTCTTTTACTTGGTGACTTCTCAAGATCCAATTTTCAGAATGAAAGCAAATCGGCAAGACTAAACTCATGTAGCTTAACACATTCACAAACTGTCCATGCACAAAGCAAGGGAATAATTAAGAATAAAATACTGTCAGATATCAAGTCTTTACCGCATCTCTGGGTGAAGGTACATCGTCAAAAGACCTGTGTTTCAAATGATCCTGACGTGGACTAGAACCTGAGGTGTTTCTCCTTGAAAATGCTTCAACTGCACCCGAGAATCGATCTCGAATCTCTTTCCCAACTGGATAAGACAATTGCATAAAAGGGTTTAATAATTGTGGGAAACCAAAAAGGAGACTGCAGAGTGTAAAATTGTTGTGGAAAGTTAAACAACAGCTGAAGAAAGGAAGCTACACTGAAAAATCATAGAAAACTAAGTCCTCGAATACGAAATAAATCTTCAAGAGTAATTGGCATCTCCTAGTTCCAGAAATCAAAGCTTAGGACTTATTAGTGATAAGTTTGAGATATAAGAGCTAAACAGGACATCAAAGTCAAAAGCACACAGCAAATCCATAACTTCTTAATTAAATCAAGGTCAATTGTCCAATTTGGCACCTAAATGAAATATATTCTTTGAAGAGTGAGCAACACCTGATCCTCTTTCAGGTCTTTCCATAGATGGCCCTGCGCTTAAACCCGCTTTCCCACTGGCATGCTAAAAACAGAGAAAATAACCAAGTAAATAACATTCATATCAGATCAACACTTGAACATAACATTTCCAAACACTAACCCATCCTCTAGAGGTGCCACCAATCTGAGGGTGCTTCAACACAGTCCAGTCAAATATATAGTCAAATTGATAACCTGCAAGTAATCATTATATTAATATCCTGACCCCAAACACAAATAAAGAAAACACTAACCATTACAAGGAAAAAAGTTTATGAATCTAAAACAAAATACCCAAATTTGTGAATATTACCTTCTCGAATAAATAAGTCTCTGAAAAGCCTCTTTAAATAAGAATAATCTGGCTTGTCTTCAAACCGCAATGATCGGCAGTAATGAAAGTAGGATACAAATTCAGCTGGATGAGATCTGCACAGCACCTGTTAAACATATCTGTGGCTATATTATCCATGTTGCAACGTTAACAAGAATTCCCAGCAGAAGAGGGTCAATAACAGCAGCATGTTGTGTGCGAATGTGCATCCACAAGGAAACATATGCTTGAATACATATGTATGAAGTTATAAACAAACATAAAGCGCTGAATTATCAGACTAGGCTTGGTTCAAGTAGCCTCTTAAACACATTTATTGTCCAAATCCATGCAAACATTGAGCCAGTCAAGAACCCAACCAAAATAAATGGAAGTGCCAGTCTTCCTGGTCGAGACTTTTTTCATATCTGCCCCATTTCTAATCTTTGGTCGATCTCAACCAAAATATATGTAAATACACACACACACACACACACACACACACACACACACACACACACACATATATAATATAACACGTGTAGAATGTCCACTCTTGGAACATAAGAAGTTGTTAGCAATAAGAATGCAAGGAGAAAGTTGTTACCTCTATAGGAGTTGTCATTTTCTTTTCACTGATTTTGTCGTACTTTTGCTTCTTTGTACCAGCTTTTAAACCTTGCCAGGGAAGGCTGATTGGAGGAAAAAGACGAAAAAAACGAGGAATAAAAAAATAGAATAAGATACAATGTGGCATCAAATACCCAAAATCAGGTATCAAATGGCCAAAAAAAAAAAAAAAAAAAAAAAAACAAGTGCCAAGGACTAACCTTCCTCTTAAGAAATACATCAGCACATAACCAAGAGATTCCAAATCATCTCTTCTGCTTTGCTCTGAATGTGAAATAAAACACAATGAGAATAAGTAGCGCATGGTAAGTTGGATATCCATTACTGATATAATTTACATAGCAATATATAATGAAATAAAATATCTCTCACCAATTCCAAGGTGGGTGTTAACACTTGCATAGCGAGCAGTTCCTGTAAGGTTCTTGTTCTCCCTAACAAATGAAAAAGAAACAAAAATGACCTTTCATAGCGACAACATCAAAGCCAACGGTGGCACAGAAGAATAAAAAGTACAAGAGTAAAATATTAAGTCAAATCTAACAGAAATGGAAGAGGCACAGAGATATGTCGATAGTACATGAATCGCGACAGACAACTCACAGAAGCATATTTGACACGAGCAGTGACTTTACAAAACACTTTACGAAAAAATTATCATAAGCTGCCACTTTACAAATAAAATTTACCTGTATGGTATGTGCTTATGAGTCTGAAGATCCCTATACTTCTTTGCAAGCCAAAATCAATAGCATACACCTGTGACAAGAAATGTCAGATATATTACAGTTCTAAAGAAAAACGTGTGAATGGAGTGTTAAACAAAGAAAGATTTGAAATCTCGACCCTAATACCATATGAGATCCCCACTATCAAAAAAAATTCCAGCAGTAAGTGTTCCATTAGTGCAGTAATTGCTATAATTCGCACAGTAACTGCAATTAAACAAGAAAAATTACCTGATTGGCTTTACGCGCTAGGCCCACTAAAAAGTTGTCTGGCTTTATATCACGGTGAAGAAAACCTCTTGTGTGCATGTATTCAACCCTGTTAATCTGAAGGATGGCATAAAAAAAAAAAGTAAAAACAAATATCCTGGCCATTTTAAACATATAAGTTGAAGGATGGTTAGAAGCACTTACCAATTGATCTGCAAGCATCAACACTGTTTTTAATGTGAACTTCCTATTGCAGTAGTTGAACAAATCTTCCAAACTAGGTCCAAGAAGGTCAATAACCATGATGTTGTAGTCACCCTCAACTCCAAACCACTTGAGGTGGGGTATTCCAGCTTCATCATAAAATGACAATGGTTAGTTGTTCACTATCAATTATTGGTAAGAAAACTTATCTGAGAGAGAGAGAGAGAGAGGACACTTACTTCCTCCTTGAAGAAGCATATACAATTTTGACTCATAATGAAGCTGGGGATGCTTGGTCTTCACAGGTTCCTGGAATTTGGAAAATAAACTAGCTCGTCAAATGCATACCCATTATGACTATTGAATTATATGTACATGGTACAAATACGGGCCGTAACAAGGTTTTACTCGACTGGAACTTTTTGATATCAAAATGCATCCATGTTAAATCTAAATAATAAAAAAAGATATGCTTCCCATCCAGAATTTTCATCCATTACATAACTGAAAAGAAATGAAGAACATAAAGCATGAAGTAAGCTTCGAATCTAACTCGCATAGAACTTGTTCACTATGAAATCTAAAGTACCATTGCTACTCTTATTCACAAAGATTCGAAAGAGATTATTTACTTTGTTCTTTGACTTTCTCTAGTGATTAAAGAAATATTGAACAAAACATAATTTTAATCAACACGTTCATTAAACCGAATAAATCATACTGCTTCAAGAAACAAACATAATGAATTACCCGAAGCTCACACTCAACATATTCTAGTATATTAATGAAGCCGCCCATTTATAACTCAGGCACAAAAATATACAATGCTTGCAAACATTTAGCCATAAACCAAACATCAGAACTGAATCTACGATTTGAGGATCCATCACATACCAGCTTAACAGCCACCTCCTCCCCACTTTGTACATTTACACCTAACACCAGAACAGCAATTTCATTACAAAACACATAAAATTAACACAATGAATAATTTTCAAGAGGAAAAAAGGATATCAAGCACTGATTACCACACCTAAATAGAGTTCTCCGAAAGACCCACTCCCAATCTTCCTCCCCAGCTTAAACTTCCCCGCAATCACATGCTCCATGATGCAACAATGTCCAATACGATTCGACCCACAAGCTCAAACTGGCTTTATTTCACAGCAATTTGTGCAAAATTCAGCCTTTATTGTTTGCATAACCCAGAAACCGCCAAACAATAACCCCCAAATCTCCACCAAAAATTAAAACCAAAAGATTTTCAATTGACACCTCCGATCAAAACCTTCGATTTTTCCCCCAGTAACTCGGCCTAAGAACCACTCCGAGCATTAAATTACCATCAAATGGAAAATAAATAAGAAATCCCAGAAAATCCAACTGGGAAATCCGATTTTATCGACAACAACGACACAGAAAGAGGGCTACTTTTTCGAAAATCAAAGGACCCCCTTTTTCCCAGCTGCACATCCAGAACGCCTCCAATCCCAAATCGACGATTGCAGACGGCGAATTCGAATCTTGAATCACAAGACCATTGACCTACATTGACCTCGAAGCCCTCGAATCACAAGCCAAAACACAAAAAACTCTTCGAAAATTTGAAATCAGCTGCGAAATATGTAAAAGTAGCAAATCAAATAAGGATCAACTGGGAGGTTTTTTGTTGGATCGGACAGAGCTAGAAACAAATCATTTATACATATGAACAGAAAATAGGGACAATGGCGGAGGAAAATAATTTCTAGAGAGAGAAAGGAGAGAGAGAAATGGGGGAGGGCAGGATAAGGGAAAAGGAGGTTGGAGACGATTATATTTGTTTTTTTTTTTTTTTTTTTTTTTTTGGTTTTGGATATTGCAATTTCTTTCTCCATTTTATTTATGAAAAAAAAAAAGTAAGTTACAAGATAAAGAGGTAATAAAATATGAGGGGTGAAAGAATCACGTTAGGTAAAAGGCAAAGTTTGAAAAGGAAATTCAAAGAATAATACAAGAAAAAGAAAATTAAATATGTGATGCATAAAACGTAATTATACAATGTTACTATTTAATCGAATTATAACATGTGAATTTCTCTTTTAAAATAATATATTACGTGACTTATATTTTTTAAAATTTTAAAAGTTTTTCTAATTTTTAACAAAAGTGTCTCTTAAAATAAAATAAATTTACAAAATCGCGCCTGCACTTTTTCTTATTTTCTGTCTGTTTTTTTTATATGTTTTTTGGGTAAAAATTAGTTTAGTTTAGATAAGATGGGATATTCTCTATCTTTCTCTCTCCATTTTCGCCTTGTTCTGATCTGGAAGAAGGCCAGTCTGATCTGGTATTTTGCCATTTTGTCTCTCTGGGTGTCACATATGGAGTTTATGGCCTTTTTTGGGTCAGAAATTTAGGCCATTTTGGTGTTGGATTGCTGCGTCTTCTATGTTGCATCTCCAAGTCCACCACCCAAAAATTAGACTACTTGATAGTCTGGACTACCGAAGACATTCCGAAAAATTAATCATTAAGCTTAATGAGAAAGGATAAGAGCATCTTTAAGAGAGTTGGCCAAATTTATCATTAAAACATGAATTCTTCAATGGTGGTTGGGGATGAACGAAGTGTACACAGATAGAAAGAATACTTTCTGTATTTCTGTTTTCTTAATGAAGAAGAAATTACATCTGAGTATATATACACTTTGCTAAATAACCTTAGTGACTAATGACCACTAGATTAGCATCTAATAACAGAGATTAGTTACAACCAAAATTACAGCTGTTTAAACCATAAAAATATCTACTGATGAGGTGTCCCTTTACCCTCCCTCAAGCTAAGCGGAGGAGCACCGAGAGAAAGCTTGGACTGCAGTAGCTTAAATCTGGCCTTAGGCAGGGCCTTGGTATGAATGTCAGCAATCTGATGATGGGTACTGATATGAAGGACCTGAATCAGATTTGCTAAAACAAGTTCACGAATGTAATGATAGTCAAGTTCCACATGTTTTGTGCGAGCATGGAAAACTGGATTAGAAGCCAGAGAAATGGCAGAAACATTATCACACCAGAGTTTGGGAACCTGCCTAAGAGGAAAAAGGACATCCTGTAACAGTTTACAGATCCAGGTTAATTCGGCAGCTGTGTGAGCAAGGGACCTATATTCAGCCTCTGTTGACGATCTAGCAACAGTGTGTTGCTTCTTGGCACTCCAACTAATCAGATTGGGACCAAGATACACACAATAACCACTGGTTGAGCGTCTGTCAAAAGGGCAGCCAGCCCAATCAGCATCCGAAAAGGCTGTAAGATGCAATGGACCTGGCTTGAACCACAGACCTTGAGTAATAGAACCTTTGAGAAAACGCAAGATTCGCTTGACTGCTTGAAGGTGAGGTTCGCGCGGACAATGGAGAAATTGACACACTTGGTTGACAGCAAAAGAGATATCGGGTCTTGTCCAAGTAAGATACTGAAGGGCACCTACAATGGATCTGTACTCCTTGGGATTGGGTAGTAAAGGACCAGTGTGATCCAATTTAACAGATCCAAGAGGAGTAGAACAGGGTTTGCAGCCATCCATATTTGTTTTAACAAGTAAATCAAGAGCATACTTGCCTTGAGACAAGAAGAGGCCAGTGGAGGTTCTGTGAACTTCTAAGCCGAGGAAGAAATGAAGGGGACCCAAATCCTTGACAGGAAATAAACTGCTCAATTTTTGAATGAAGGCCTGACAGTGAGAAGCATTTGGACCAGTCACAAGAATATCATCGACATACACAAGGACTATAACCAGAGAGGGTTGTGTTTGAACAAAGAGAGAGGAATCAGATTGGGAATTTGCAAAACCAAGAGAGCTGAGAGCATGAAAAAGTCTGTCATACCAGGCTCTGGGAGCCTGTTTTAAACCATAGAGAGACTTGGTAAGTTTGCAAACAAAGGATGACTGTGATTGATCAATAAATCCAGGTGGTTGCTGCATAAAGACTGCTTCCTTCAGATTGCCATGCAGAAAAGCATTACTGATATCTAATTGATTTAGAAACCAGTTGTGTTGAACAGCAAGTGTGAGTAAAATTCGAATTGTAACAGGCTTTGCAACCGGACTAAATGTCTCCTGAAAGTCAACCCCCTCTTGTTGATGAAACCCTTTAGCTACAAGACGAGCTTTGTACCGGTCAATGGTACCATCTGGTTTTCTCTTAATCCGGAACACCCATTTACACCCGACAACATTCTGAGTGGGAGATGGAGGAACTAACGTCCAAGTACCAGTACTTTGCAAGGCTTGATACTCTGCAAACATTGCTTGTCGCCAATGCTCATATTTGGAAGCCTGAGCATAAGTAGTCGGGACAAAGGTGCTGGTGTCAATAGGGTGCTTGGTAGCAGCTAAAACCTTGGGTTTAAAGATCCCAGCTTTGGACCGGGTGATCATAGGATGTGTGTATGTAGGAATAATAGGGGGAGAAGAAGCAACAGGTATGGAGGATGAAACAGGGACTGAAGAGGCAACAGGGACTGGAGATGCAGCAGGGACTGGAGATGCAGCAGGTACAGGTGAGGAAGGAGAGATAGTAGGAGAGGATAGTAGGGAAGATGGAGCTGCAGTAGATAAGGGAGCAGTGCTATCCAAGATTGAGGAGTGAGGCTTATCCCAATAAGGAAAGGGAAGAGTAAATGAGGAAGAAGAATGGGAGGCAGATCCCAATGAGTTAGGACCCTGTGACGGAGATGTGCTTTTGAAAGGAAAATGATCCTCATAAAACAAAACATGTCTTGATATGTATACTCGATGAGATTGAATGTCCAAGCACCTGTAACCCTTGTGTTGCAAACTATAGCCGAGAAAGACACACTGTGTACTCTTGCCATCAAGTTTGGAAGAAACATATGGTTTAAGCCAGGGATAACAGCTACACCCAAAAATTTTCAGCTTTGAATAATCTGGAGCCCTTTTAAAAAGTAGTTCCCAAGGAGAGATGACCAGATTTGATAAGGGTAACCGATTAATAAGATACAAGGCTGTGCTGAAAGCGTCTACCCAGTATTTATGAGGTACACTAGAAGCAACTAGGAGAGTGCGAGCAGTTTCTGTGAGATGTCGATGCTTACGCTCAACACACCCATTTTGCTCGGGAGTGTGAGGACAGCTATATTGATGACAAATACCATGAGTAGCAAGGAAAGAATTAAAGGCAGAACCAGTAAATTCACCTCCAGAATCAGATCTGAAAATTTTTATTCGATTGCCAACCAAGTTTTCAACATAAGCCTTGAAACGGACAAATACAGAAAACACTTCAGATTTTGCCTTCAAAGGGAACAGCCATGTGTATTTAGTGAACTCATCAACAAAAAGAACATAATACTTGAAACCACTGACAGAGACAACTGGAGCTGGACCCCAAACATCACAGTGAATCAGTTCAAGACTTGCAGAAGCACGACTAGTACTGGAAGAAAAGGGCAATTTGTGATTTTTACCAATGGCACAATCAGTACAAAAGAAGCTAACAGAATTGCTACCACTATGAGCAAGATGAGCTTTATTTAAAATCTTCCTAAACATTGCTGCAGAGGGATGGCCAAGCCGCCTATGCCAGGTCGGAAGAGAAGCTTTAGTGCTAAGAAACGCTGAAGGGGCAGAAGTGGAGGGAATGCCTTGAAGAGGATAGAAGCCTTCATGGACCGGTCCTTGAAAAAGCATCCTCCCCGTAGAGCGATCCTTGATTGTAGAACCATCAGAATCAAGGGTCAATGCACAACAATTATCTTTTAAAAACTGATAGGCAGAGAGAAGATTGAATTTCATCTTGGGAACATGAAGGACATTGTTCAATCGAAATGTAGCGGATGGTGTTTTAAGCAAAGAAGTACCAGAATGATGAATGGACATACCTTGTCCATCACCAATGTAAACCTTATCTTCGCCGGAGTAGGGAACAGGAGATTGAAGAGCAGCAATATCATTAGTGATATGAGATGTAGCACCAGAATCAATGAGCCACGAAGGAGAAGTTTTAGAATTCGTGTGAACACACATGGCAGCCAATTTGGCAGGGGGTATTTTGCCAGCATACGCATGATTCATGCGTTCATAACAGTCAATAGCTTCATGGTCAAGAGAGTGACAGATTTGACAAGAAGTTTTACCCCCAAAATAAGAACCAGAGTTGGTGTGAGTATTGCGATTGAAACCACCAGAGTTAGAGCGATTGCCACCAGAAGTATGGCGAAAAGAACCAGAGCCATTTCCTGAATTAGAAACGTTACCACGAAACTGAGAAAAGTGCCTGGAGTAGTTACCACGATTTTGGCGCTGAGAAAACCCTTTGCCATTGCCACGATTGTTCTGAAACCTGGGAGGAGCAGTGAACTGTGCAGCATAGGCTTGAGGAAAAGGAGAGTATGGTGGTGTAGGCAGAAGAGGACCCTGAGACTGAGCTACAAAGGCCTGAAAAGGTTCTTGAGCGGAAGAGACAACACCTTTCTTTTTGCGATTCATGAATAATTCCTTGTTGATTAATAAACCATGCAGTTCATCCAAAGTAGTAGAAGAGATGCGCAACATAATAGAGTCAATAAACGATTCATAGTCATCAGATAAACCATTGAGAGTGACAGCAATAAGATCCTGATCAGAGACTGGGGAACCAGCCGCCATTAGGGCATCAGAAATACCTTTGATGCGCTGCAGATACTCAGAAATCGAAGAATCACCTTTGTGTATGGCATGGAGACGAGAGCGAAGTTGGTGAATATGAGCAGCAGAGACACCTCCAAATCGATTTTCAAGATTAATCCAAAGATCGTGAGACGAAGTGACACCGACAGTAAACGGAATGATTTCTTCAGAGAGAGTAGAGTTAAGCCAAATCAGAATGTTTTGATCCTTCTCATACCAAGCTTCATAGGCAGGATTAGGGTTTCCAGTAAGACAACCATGCTGATCAAGAAGATAAGGCGGTGGAGGGAGCTCAGAACCGTCAACAATACCGGTGAGCTTGTAGCGCCTGAAGATTGGAGCAAATAGAGCCTTCCAGACTAAGTAATTATCACGCTTCAGCTTCGTAGGCACCATACAAGTAATATTCTGGATGGTGATTGATGCAATCGACGAATGAGAAAAATTAGGGTTCATCGCAGAGAAATTGGGGGCGACGAATTCAGACGATGCAGGATTTGGAGGAACAATTTCAGGAGGAGAAGGCGACGAGGAGGCCGTCGCCATTGTTGAGAAGAGGAAGCTCGAGATCAAGAAGAACGAACCGCAAAGAAAGGAGGATCGAAGAGCGATGAAGCAGAGAGGCGAATGATACCAAGATAGAAAGAATACTTTCTGTATTTCTGTTTTCTTAATGAAGAAGAAATTACATCTGAGTATATATACACTTTGCTAAATAACCTTAGTGACTAATGACCACTAGATTAGCATCTAATAACAGAGATTAGTTACAACCAAAATTACAGCTGTTTAAACCATAAAAATATCTACTGATGAGGTGTCCCTTTATACACTTCTATGTACATTTCCTCTCCTTCATCCCATTCCTCTTTTCTCCTATGTATTTGGCTCTTTTCTCCTATGTATTAACCCTATAGTTTTTGTTTGGTTTTTTAATCAAAATTATCATATGAGACTGGTATAATTCTTTATTTTGGTGTCTAAGTTTGTTCACTTCAATCATTTTGGTCATTTGGTAGAAATTTTTTGTTAAATAAGAAATAATAATAATAATTCAATTTAATAAACAACGGACTCCAATGATTTGATAAAAAAAGAAAAGAATATTTTTGTTATTTTATCCTTTTAACAGATTTTGCACGAAATGATCAAAATGATTGACAGTGGACAAACTCATGACCAGTTCTACCGATTTTAAATCTCAGAGAACCTCCACCTTCGCCCTCTCCATTATTCCATATTCCTCATTTTCTCATGTATCTCCCAACTACTAAAGCAAAAAAATTAAAACCAAAAACTAAGAACCAAATAATTATAATTAAAAATTGAAAGCTAAAATAACTATCGTGCAATTCCTAAAAATTCGATTGATTAGAGAAAATAGTTAATCATATTATAATTTCTAGTATTTCGTAATTTTAACTTCCTCTATCCATGATTGATTTTTCTTGACAAATAAAAGTAACAATAAAAGAAAAGTTAACCAATGGTAAAGAAAATTCATGGCTAAATTGATTGATTTCTTTGTCATAATTTGTGGATGATGTGAGATACCAACACGAGCCAGCCCACTCCCACTTCGCCCCTTCCGCCGACACAAAGCAAAATCAAATCAATTGACTTATGCTTTCGGTGCTCTTACACATTTCAGATCTTACTTTTACCTCAAAACAATTTTCCACCACATTATGTACTTTTACTCTGGCTCTTCTTACGAATCTAGGATTTCATAAGAATTTAATCCAGACATAAAAGCATAAAAAAATTAAAAAAACCATCCGACTTCTTTTACTTTGTCACCAAGTAATCCGGATATATATTATGCGTCTGAGTGTGTCTATACACACACGTGCATGTGCGCACACACATACATACCAATACCACAAGGACTTCTCTAGCTAATTTAATTTCTTATCTCACAAGTAAGCACTTAGATGTGTTAGGAATCAATCATTAGTAAAAATGTAAATAAATCTTAGAAAAACACATAAAAGTGCTTCCTGGAAAAAATACATAAATAGTGTTTCTTGCAAAAAACACTTAAATGCTTTCTGAAAGAAGTACATAACTGGTGCTTCTTACAGAAAGCATTTAAAATGCTTTTGGAATCCAAAAATATTTTCTCTAAAAATGTTTTCAGTCATTTTAAAAGTACATCCAAACGAACCCTTAATCTCAATGGGACAAGCATCGTGAGCACAATCCTACAAGAAGACTGAAAACCCTAACTTATTCTTTAACCTATAATAAATTCGTAACTTGATAAACTTTAACCTATACATTCATAAGTTCGTATATCAAAAGTCCAAAACAAACAAGATCGTCTTTAGGGAGCAATGGATTCGAAAGCAAAACGCCAGACGCCAAGAGATAGGATCAGTGAATTACCGGACGCGATTCTCTGTCACTTACTTTCATTCCTTCCAACTTTGCATGTTGTACGGACCACGAGTTTGTATACAAGATGGAACAACTTATGGTGTACCAGTGCTCCCATTAGCCTACAGTTTGATAGCAGAGATTTTTCTTCTGCTAGAGATTTTTCTTATGCACCTCAACAACAAAGGAGGTTTATGAGGTTTGTTGACGGCGTAATGAAATTATGCGGCTCATCGTGCAACATTAGAAAACTATGTCTTCATTGTCAGTCTTTCGCTTTTAAAGATGAAGATTTCTCTTGTATTCATAGATGGATATCCACTGCCATCAAGAACAATGTTATTGAACTTGATCTTTATTTGTTCAGTATTAATTATGATTTCGTCAAGAAGTTAGTTGAAATGCCTCCGAGCTTTTACGGGTGCAGATCATTGGGGACTCTGAAGTTGGACACAAATTATATTACCTTTACATCAGGTTGTTTCCCAAGTCTCAAGTACCTCCATGTTACATCTCATAACAGTATTATCGGCGAGATCTTTCTGAACTGCCCTGCGCTTGAAGATTTGACTATAATTGGAAACATGGGAAGAGATGTTTTGGTAGTTAACATCTCTGCACCTCAACTGAAGACGTTAACAACTGATACTCTTGAGTGCGAGTTTTTTGTTGATGCCCAGAGACTTGAAAACCTCCATGTCAATATGAATTGGGCTTGTTTGTCGTCGAATTATGTTTTGGAGAATTCTAAATCCTTGGTCAAGGCCAAAATTCATCTCAAATATTATATGCCTCCAAAATATATGTATCAATATCCATCCTATGCTGACACTATATCTACGTTACTCGCAGGTACTTCAAGTGTTAAATATTTGACTCTTTTAGTTCCTCAATATCTGGAGGCACACTATCTGCCTGATTTGAGAATTTGAATCAACTGGAACTAGATCTTCGTTGCTTTTGCTGGGGACTTGTAATAGATTTGCTCATGAAATCTCCTAATCTGAAACACTTTCTCTTAAACCTTCATCGTACAGCATGGGATCGCGATTACAAGCCAGTCGATCCATCAGTGCTTGTGCCAGTGTGTCTCTCATCACACCTTAAGACTATCTCCATGCGCGGATTCCACGGAGAACAGGAGGAGGTTGAAGTGCTGAAGTATTTGTTAAAGTACGGTGAGGTTTTGAATAAGATGACGATTTCTCCGAAGAATTTCGTAGGCAGTTCGGCATGTCTTACAAAAGAGGAGTTGTGCAAGGAAATTTTGTTGTTTCAAAAGGGCTCAGAGACTTGCCAAGTTGAAGTTATCTAGAATGGAAGCAGTTTTAGGTTTTTCTAATAAATGGGTTCATATAGTTCTCAAATTGTAATTTGACATCATATTTTGTTATTTTGAATGCAATTATGGTCCAACATTTTTTTTGAAAAAAAAAAAAAATATTCTAATCAATGCATGTAAACTTGAGATTTAAACATCGTACTTGTTTTAAGAGTTCTGAATATTAGACAGATCATGTGTTTCTTCCTTTCTCATGTTACATAATATACATTTTTACGTGGACGTGTTGTCATAACAAACATTATATGATGTCCTATTTAGTAAAAACTAAATTCTAAAAAATATTGATGGCAATTTGGAAAACAATATAACGGCCGGCATCATAATCTTCATCTTTATGTCAATACTATCTGGATTGACATATCTGATTTTGGGATCTTCATGTTTCAAGGTTTGTGTCCATTTACCACTTTTTTTTTTTTCTTGTTCTGTTTTTATCCCTTTTCAATCTTTTTATTATCGATCTCATTTTTTTTTTTACCTCTAAATTCGAATGATTTTTTTTTTCTTGTAAATTATATAAAGTTTTGTAGAATGCGAAACTTGTAGCTTTAACGGTACAGCACTTTTTAATTCCCACATGCACGGCGATCTTCGACAATTTGAAGGCATCTGAATGGAAATTTTTATAACAAGAGACTAAATCCTTAATGTTATTAGGTGATTAGATGCGATTAATTATTTAATTGAAAAGAAAAACAAATGTAGTTGGGCATCAATCATGGTATTAAAAGTTGGCGAAGTTCTTAACTTGCACGCATCGAACTATGAAATCAAACACAAATACAAATTGCCATGCTGACCAAAATTCAGATTACCAAATCTGACTCGTGATGTTTGTGCAGATAACTAAACACAATAATGGCAGGATCAGGAACTGTTTTCTCTTCTGCTTTGGAAGGGATGAATCATGTTAAATCCGAATCCGGCGAGATGCTGGCCAAGCCTTTCTTGGATGTGTGCAAACACTTGCTGCCTGTTTTAGGTATGAGAGTTTGATTTTTAACCCGAAAGCGGATTGAATTTAATGTGTTTTGATGCTGACAAGACCATATTTTTCTCGATTCATTGTTTCGATTCCAGACAAGTTTGGAGCTGCCTTTGCCCCTGTGAAATCTGATATTGGTAATAACGTATCGGTAAGGTGCTGTCTTTTTTCTAGGAAAATAATGTAACTTTTTGGACAAGCAATCTGTCTTGGTTTTTTAATGTTTGCAAGGTTTTTGATGTTCTTCTGTACATTACAGAGGTTGGATTCTAAGTATTCGTCGAGCCCATCAGAATTTAACCTCTTGTATAGCATAGTTCGGGTTGAGATTGAAGTGAAAACCGCGAAATCCTCATCTAGTTGCACAAATGCTCTACTCTGGCTAACAAGGTATGTCATGTTCATGTTGCATGCTTTCTGCCTGCAAGCCAAACCTTGTGTTTTTGAGAATTGAATGTGCTTAGGGCTATGGATTACTTGGTGGAGCTGTTTCGGAATCTACATGATAATCCAGACTGGCCAATGTCGAAGGCTTGTAGCGAAGCGTACGCCAAGACGCTGAAGAAATCGCATAACTGGCTAGCTAGCTCAAGTTTTAGTGTAAGAAATCTCATTCTCTTTTCAATTAGATATTCATGCTCTTGCAGTTAAGTTTATTGTCGATATATTGACAATTCTATTGACCGCATATTGCCAACGTTGGCATCAAAGTATCAACAATATCAATAATATTCGTAACATATCGGCATTTTTGAAAAGGTAGCGTAATTTTTCTGAGCTGTTGAATTGAAATGCAGGTTGGAATTAAGCTTGCTCCAGAGAGGAAGAAATTTATGGACATATTAGGTGGTGAAACTCCTGAATTAAACTCTGATATGGGGAAATTCTGCACGAACTTCTCTCCACTCCTCGAAGAGAATCACAAGTTCTTGGTAGGGTTCTTCGTGTTCGGGCAACGTAGTTTCGTTCGAATTTGCATAATTTGGTTTAAGTTTTGCCTTTTTAATCTTTTTACAGGACTCTGTTGGAATGGACGATTTGAAAGCTTGATGCATGTTCTAAATGAAATTTGTTTATAAATTGTGTATGTATTTTAATGCAAAGATTGTATTTGTATTTGTATTCTTTGTAACCCTTGCTCACTTTTCTACGAAATACAGAGCTGTAAGGAGTTTGTAACTCAAGTGGTGAAAAATAATCATCCTTCAATTAATGGTAGGCCAAACGGTCACACGTACTCCATGTCATCCCGTTGTGTTGTTCACGTGTTAGGGTTGAAAATTCACTACATGTGAGAGGGCGTATTAAGAATGAATATTATATTGGTGGAAGGAGAAACCTTACATATCCTTATAAGTAAATTGGATTACTCTCCATATATTCTCCCTTGCCACCATTGTTTGTATTAAAAAAATACAATGTTATTGATTTGCTTACTTTACCACTAAGCTCGAATGTGACAATTTGATTCATTTCTTTCTAGTTCATGACAATGATCGAACAATCCTTAAAAACTAAAGAAATTAACTGTTTATTTTAAGCTAATCTTATGGCTAACCGAAGTAAGAATTCTAGGCGAATTAAGTTATAACTATTAACTAATGCTATTGTCAAAACGTCTGGTGAAACTCGAGTTGGGTCAACCCGAAATTGTCCAAGTTCAACCTAAGTTTTAACCTGATTCTAAAAATTACAAAATCTTCGTGGCGCGTAGATCGAGTAACTATTGAGCTAACTACGTTCTTCTTGTGATGTGTGCGTGCCAACTCGCAACTGAGCTCGGGCAAATAGAATAAATGTGGTGGTGGTGGTGTCGAATGTGTTGCTTACTTCTGCACTTAAGCGATTGCGGCCAAAGAAGGAACACGTCTCGGCCTTGGGTTCTAGAACCTAAAGACAAGGTTGCTAGATCACTGCAAAATTCACTAACTGGTTCGACTTTTAATATGCCGAACATGAAGTAACCTGGTAATACCTCACTTTGGAGAGAAGCTAATAAAAACCTTTTCAAAATAATTAGAAACTCTTCGCACGTTGAAATCTGGATAGGTAACCAACCGACACATAAATAGTGTTGTTAATCCAAATTGAATATGCTCTTTGATAGCTTGATCCTATGACTCCAGTGCTGTTAATTTAAACTGAAGATGTCGCCGGTTGCTAACATACTACTATTAATCCAAACATCTGCTGATGAGAGGGTTATGATAATTAGTATTTTTCTCAGGAGTGTGAGAAGGATTTCACGTAAATGAGAGTTTTCGCATATAACTTTTGAGTTGTTTGTTGAGTTCAAGGGGTGTTTACATTGCAATCCCTCATATTTATAGTTACAAATCCCTTGATACCCAAGTCTAATATACTCGATCACCACGTCACAAATCCCTTGCTAGTTCTGTTGAGTCTGTTGTGTTTGGTTTTACCCATAGGGTGAACAATCGTGCATATGAAGCAGCTTACGTCCCAGATGTTGGTGGTTACCTTAAATGAGAATGTATGAAACCCGAATTTCTTTTCAATATTCTTGCGGAAAATATAAACTTATCTATTATAATCAAATAAATATATCATTTGAAAAACAAAAGAAAACAAAAAACAAAGAAACAAAAAGACCATCCTGGATGATTTTATCTTCCAACCCCACATGAAATGCTGGAGACCACATTCTCCAACAAGAATCATACTTCCCTCTAGAGGCCACATGCAAAAAATCCAATTATCTTGGAATTATCTAATCTTTGTTATCAACTCAAGGGATAAACCTAACAGGTTGGCCTACCACATTGACTTTATCAATTCAATGGATAAAGCCTCTCACAGAGCATATTCGATGCATTTTGACCTCGTCAAATGTCTCCACAAGATAATTCCTAACGATAATCCAATAGTAGTATATGGTAAAAATATTGAAATCCAACGCCCTCACCGTTAAACAGGTCAATGGCGCAAAATCGGATTCAAACAGATCAACTTAGTGAAAAATAAAAACTGCCAACGTAAATGGTATTCACTTTCTTTACGATGACTGTAACTTCTAATGAAAGAGGAACATGAGAAATGTGTGATTTGTAAAGCATATATAAAGTTTTGGGGGCTCATAACTTCTGTAGTACAAGATTTTACCGCTGCATTCATAACTATACTGTGACTCCTAAACATGGTCAACGTGCAAACCATTGAGCAAACTTTAAAAACGGGTAATGGACTTGAGTCTTGACCAAGTAAACACGAGGATGTTAGCATCCGAACATAGAAACACACACGTGCCATCTTATTTTGATGCATTATAGGTCTCACATGTACTAACGACTAAAATTAGTTCACAAACGCATATTCGACTAATCATAGCACTTATCTTGCTCTAATTTTCTACAAATCCGCTATATATGCAGGTGTTATATATATCTAGATGTAGCGATTTCCTCCACAAGTAATTTCCACCCCAAAGAAATAGCTAACAAACAATGGAAATTCATAAGCTTCCACCATTCATTACAACCTCTAAACCTTCTATATTTAGCACGTCAAAGTTTTTATTTTCACTCTAATTTTCTCGCCGAAAAATACGACGTACTTCTGGTTGACAATCATGGAATTAGGGAAGAAAGAAGAATGCATTACCATCGAATCAACGAGATAAACGATAGGTTTACTTTAATTAAGCATAATTTGTTTTCCAGTTCATTCCTTTTCCCATCACTGCCACCCTCAATGCCACATTTGTCAAAAGCTGTTGTTAGTTTTTGAACACATTTTTCCTTTTCTTTCTAAAGTTTTCCCCATCTTGCAAATTAATACAAGAAAGTGAATATTCTTAGCTTCTTAGGGAAAAAAATTATAGTTCTGAATGCAGCCTTCTCCCGTACGGGCCTGTAAAATTCGGCCTTGCATCAAGGTATCGTAATCGAAACGCAGAAGAATATGATTTTTTTGTTGTTGTTCCTTTTATCAATAAATTGTCGTCTATTAGATTTGAACACAAAAAAGGACGAATTGCGGTCCTATTTGCATTAGCCCTTTCATATGGTTTATTTTGATTTTCAATTATTAACTTCTTCTTCTATTGTCAATGTTACAGAATTGGAGGACAAATTTTGGATTCTACATCTAGTAGAGAATTTCCAAGAGTAGTTTTAATTAATTTGTTTAATTAGAATGGCGGCGAAAGATGCAAAGAATAGCAAGATGGTGGCGAAGGACGCAAATAATGGCAAGATGGTGATGAAAGATGCAAATAACAACAAGATGAAGGGCCTCTTGAAAGGCCTAAGATACATTTCTCAAATTTTTGGTATGTGTAAAATTGGAAGAAGGTTGCAATTAGAGTGATTTTTAGGGTCATTTTTATAAATTTCTCAAAGAAATGGCATTCCTTTCGGCAGATGATAACAAAAACCAAGAAATGCAGATTGGGCTTCCTACAGATGTAAAGCATGTGGCTCATATAGGATGGGATGGCCCTTCAACTGCTAGTTCTCCAAGCTGGGTAATTAACCATGTTTACTTTTCTTTTGACAAAGTTTATCGTCTACGAGATTCGAATTCTGCTCGTAACCTATTTTTTGACAAAGTGGAGACTGAGAGCGGCTAGACGAGACCATCATATGGGTTTTATTTTTCATGCAGATGAATGAGTTTCAAGCTCCACCAGGATTTCAACAGTCAGCACCTTTAGGCAATGGAGAGATGAAAGAAGATTATGGGGTCAAATGGGTCTCTGAAGGTACTTTTATTTATTTATTTATAAAAAAACACGCAATATTGACGCGTTTGCTTAGAGAGCGTCAGTAAATACGTAGTTTTCTCTCTAAACACATTTCGGTTAACATGTTAATGTTGTAAATGTATGTAGATTCAAGCCAGAAAGGTTCAAGGGGTGCTAGGTCACCGGCACATGACATGCCGGATTTACCCAAGTCGTCAAGGCGGCATTCATCGAACGGCCACGGAGGTGGTGGAACGGATTCCCCCAAGAAGGAAAAATCAGATAAAGTTAAGCATACAAGGAGGTCTTCTAAGAATAGGGAGACATCGGATATTAGTACTAGGGGCATCCAGCAACCCACGGATCCAAGTCAAGGCAGCGAGTCGCCGCAAAACCTACCGGACATCCCTAAGAAAACGCGACGGAAGAAGTCGAAGGACTCGTCCATTGGGAGTTCATCAGGGTCAAGGAGATCTAAACACCATGCTAGTTCAGAAACATGTCCATCTCCTGGACACCAATCTGCAACCATTTCTCAGAGATCTTTTCAAGAGGGGGAGGACAAGGGATTTACATGAACTTCTTCACAACGTTGATTATTTTGTTGTAGCTAGAATCTTTAATCAGGCTAGCTATATAAAATGTATCAGAAAGTGAAGCCAAAGAAATGTAATTTTCAGACTAATAACATCATTTCAATTTTTGAAACATTTTACCTTGTTTTTCTCGATCGAAAAACAGCTTCATTAGAAAATCATACGACCTAAATAAATCATCCGTGGAACATCTCACAAAAGCATAAGTTCTTTATACTTTAGTCCAACTTGATCCCACGATAATCCAATATAGTATATGAGAATTGACCTAGTCAGACAACCTATCAAAATTTTCTCCTACAACCTATGCTTGAAAATTTCAATGCAAACCAACTGTGTGCAATACAGTACAAGGGTGATCTGCTTTTGTCTCTCTTTCATGATTTGAGTTCAATTTTGCCCAGAATTAGACAACATTCCAAAACATGTTTGAGATCAATTTCACATGTATTTAGTATTGTCTATCATACATTTACAACTTTCAACATGCTTTCTACAGTTTTAAAATCCGCAATATCACGCGCGCAATTTTTGCTAGTTCATCACTAATTGACAGAAAAATTGTGGTAAAAAGAACAAAATAATAGTATGATGAAAGATAGTTATAATAATTTATATGCACTTTCCATTGACAAAAGGTCCATAATTACATTAACGTTCCCCTGTAAATCCTTGTGACTGCGCATATCTAAAAATTCATACTCCGTTTCAGTAATTATCACCTCTTATCTTCTCTGTTAGAAGACCTAATCCCAGTTAAAAAAAAATGAACTCTCAAATCCCTAGCTTAAATGTTTTTAGCCATAAAAACCAGATCCCAAAGTAGATGTCAAGTGATGGCATGATGATATGATTTGTTTTGTTTGCCCTAAAAAAACAAAAAAACCTAGCTATGGAGAATACCTGGTTTGTTACGATGACGCTACTATGTTAGTTTTTTAATCTAATCAACACTATTATATGGTTTTAACGTTCCTAATGATAGTGTTGGATTGATTTAGAACTAGTCGCAATGATGTTCGAATTATAGATATACGTCCGAACTGTGACTTGTGACATTGTTTGTTAATTTTTTGTTTTCTTGAGTTCCCCCAACATTTGCATAACACAAGGTTGATGCTTCTCGTTTTTGTTAACTAAGATGAGTGTAACAATTGGAACTAGTTTTTCAATTTGTCATATCATCTAGTATTCAAAACTGTGGAACTAAAACGGTGAAAAGCCCGTAATAATGGTGTTGGGTACTGTAACAACAAATGGCGGTGAACAAACAGTTGATATGATGGTTCCCTCATGTCAAACCTATCCAAGAGCTTGTGTTCTTATTTTCAAGGTAGTTGCATAGGAATGCATCCGTCTACGGGCGATGTTCTAACAGTACATCTATTGGCTCTGCCTCGACAAACATGGTATGGACTATGGACTAAGAAAAGAGAAGTTACTGGCAGAAATCAATGGCCTTTGATCCAACTCACACATGTCTTTGGATCCGATGAAGTTACGAAATATACTTCATATCATTACTTTGCAAAGATTAACATGAGTAGCGAAACAACTCATCAAAAACTTCACTTGTTTTGTTTACAAGAGAATCGTTTGAGGTTGAATCAAAACGACTTAATATTCATAACATAAACTTGAATCACGTAAAACCAAAGTACCTTACTCTTAGATTGAAAGCAGATCAAATGAAGGTAGTAGCAGTCCCATTCTGGGGACATGGCTTTTAAAGGCTGTGAGATGCAAGGCTTTTGCCACCATATTGAAAATGTCAATGTGTTCGTACATGTTCAAAACTCTCTCCATTGTGTAAACATTGGTTTAGGTCATCAACACCGTCAATGCGGGAGAACATTGAAAGGAACCCAAAACTAAGTCCAAATCCAATATTTTAGGCACGGGCCACGCCCAATATCAAATTACTTTCAATGCCAAATATTTTGACATCACGGTTTAAAAGCATGTCAAAATCGCATTTTTATACCGTACTTGTAATATGATATATATATATATATATATACAATCAAAGTAAATTTCATTGAAGAGAAAACTAATACAAGGTAAGAACAACTCAAAAAAAGAGTACAAAATAGCCAAGCAAAAGCCCAACTCCATAAACGAAAACTACAATGAGAAGGACCTAAGTGAGCAACCCATAGCAACAACCAAACCGAAAAACCTAGACAGCCACCTTTACCAAAACAGCCGCACCGCCACCACAGATCTGTTGCCACCACCCGGAAGAAGGGCCAAAGAACCAAATGGATGAACGGAAAATGGGCGTAGGCAAGCTACCCGATTTGCGACCACTCCTATAATCCTACCAAATAGTGCAAAATACACTTTAAATGCTACGAACCACCAAAGTGCGCCTTTGGAGGAGATCCTAGGGGAAGACACCCAATGAAAAGAGTAGCAAGGATAGATGATAGAAGATTCACGGTGAGGAGCGATGTTTGGAGAGGAACAAGGCAAAGAAAACAGATTTGAGATAAACTCAGGGATGACTGAGACCAAGCTCAGAACAACCTGAGACACAAAATGCTCAGAAAGAAAACAACCGAAAGCTAAATGCAAAAACTAATAATCTAAATCTCCATCCATGGTGGCTTGGAGAAGGGAAAAAACGTGGTGGAGTCGGAGGAAAAGGGAGAGATGGGAAATTGGGAGGAAAGAGAGGGAGAGAAGGGGAGAAAGTAAGGAAACATATGGTGGAAAAAGGAGAAGAGGAAGAAAGGCAAAAATCAGGGAGAGATGGGTGATATGGATATGAAATGGAGGGCAGAAGAAAGGGGAAAAGGGAGGAAGGCGAGGAGGGAAGGGCATTGGGTTGCCGCCGACCCCAAGCCGGAGCAAGAGGCCGACGACAGAGATGGTTTTAGAGATGTAGGCGCTTTGGGGGAGAGAGAGGGCACATATATAAGGATAGTCATCCCCTTTTGTTGATGGTTTACGGGAGAAATTTGGTTCACTCTAACGCGGAATTTTGTAATATGATAAATAAGGTAATAAAAGTCAATGAGGTAAGTGAAAGACTCCTACTTAAGATTTCATTGCATATATGCTTTGATTTCAGATTAATTAGGTCAACCAACTCGGTTACAATACAATCACTAAACTTAGATGGGTTTATCTTATTACTCAGTTGGTTAAGAGCATTTATCTTTACACTCAATGTCCCGTGTTTGATATTTTCTCCTCGTAATTTAAATGAATTTAGTGTCAATTATTCTATCATTTATATATAGAAAGAACTTAGACGAGATATGGCTCATTAACGTAAAAACATGACAACTAATCCAAATTTAAGTATTCAATTCAACCATAAAAAACATAGCAGTTATAACGAGAGACTTGTAGCTTATTTGGTTAAAGAACATTCATTTGTATATTCGACATCTTGAGTTTGATTCTCCCTCTTGGAAAAGGATTCTCTCTGGATCCCTTCCTCCTAATCCACCAAGTTTGGGGATCCGAACCATTGAAATTTGATCCAACGGCTACAAATAGGGGTCCACTTTAAAAGTTATAATAATTTTAGCCGTTGGATCAAATTTCAATGGTCTGGATCCTCGAACTTTGTGGATTAGGAAGAAGGGATCCGGAGAGGATCCATTTCCCTCCCTCTTTGATATAGAGGGATGATAGACCTACCCCATTGTCCTATTTTTCACCCACATTATAATTTCACCCACTATAAAAAAATAATAAACTAAAACCGTATTTTCCCACCCACTATTATTCCTAAAATAACCTTTATCACAACACCACACCTTCATTCTTTGCACCCCTAGTCCCTCCCTAAACTTCCTGTAGCAACCAAATGCGTTAATTGGTAGCCATGGTTGCAAGTCAAGAGGACCAAGTAGGGAAGAAAGAGTAGCCCATGAAGGACAACTAACCCTCTTTCCCCTTATCATCCCATCCCTCTTCTCCTTCTGCCATTCTCTTTCTCCTCCTCTTCTCCTTGCCCTTCCTCCACCACCTTAATCTCCCATGCTTCCTCTGATCCTCTGCCTCTGTTTTCAACCCAAAATCCCCAATCTTGGTATTGAAATGATACAAGGGCAAAATCTTAGACGAGCTCACTGTTTCCTTTGAAATTTGGATGGTCATTAGTCTCTTGCCTTCTCCAGCAATAGGTAACTATTGCGGTCTAGGCTACAAGAAAGTTTTAGACCAACAACAACTTTTGGTTGTGGCGGTTGAAGCCGAGGGAGAGATAAAACGGAAGAGAGAGAAAACCACAGGGCACGCACAAAGAGACGGTGGGGGGAGAGAAAAGGGGTAGGGTTTAAAAGTCTTTTTCTATAAGGATAAACATGTGACTAATATTTTCATTAAAATGTGGGTGAAAAAATAGGATAATGGGATGGATTTATCAGCCCTCTTAATAGATTGCTTGTCTCAATCGGATTTGACTTCATTTTTAACTTTTTCATCCTAAACTCACCTAAGCGTTTATTTTTGTCCCTTGGATGAAGATCATATGGTTATGATTTAATGTTGATTCTTACTTAGCAATTGTAATCCGTTAGGTTTTCCATCTCTCCCTCTCATCCAAGGCTGCTGAATAATTGATGGGAGCATGCACTAGAAAATATTAAGACGTCAAGAAAGATTGGAAGAGTCCACGTACTACTTCGTGCCGTGCTCCTCATAAACTCCACAACCAAGTGATCGCAGGAAGCAAGTTTTCTTCCTTCCTTTCTCTCCTCCCAGTTTCTAACGATTTTGTCACCGAAAACCGTAGCCATATTCTTCACAGGATAAACAAAATGGTGGGGTTGAACCAGAAGAAAAGTGAACAGATTTCCATGTGTAATGGGTTTTACAAACGACCTCTTCCTTCTCCTCCCGCGATTGAGTTCTCTTCTTCTAAGGGCAAGGTCAGTGTCACTTTATTAGTGTCTACTTCTTGCATAAATCGTCTTTTCGTGATTGAAGTTTGCGTTACGCTTTGACGTATCATGTAGCTCTTGCGATGGTTAAGGGTGTCTACCATTGCACAGAGATTTTGTGTTCAATTTCTTCCTCCAAAAGTATTGCTTGTTTAAATAAAACAAAAGGGTTAATTAATAGGTTTATTTGTGTCCGTGTAAGAACACATTAGGGTTATTATGTTGGGTTCCTTCTTATAATGGCTTTCATAGTTAAGAACCTCAGTGCAAGCATGAGGTGTGAACACAACACATTAGTGTTTGTGTGTTAGAACACATTAGTGTTAGAACCTCATTTTACATTTCTTAAAGGCTAGAGAGCTCTCCGAGGAATGAGATGTAAAATATTTATTTTGGTTGGGAAATGTAAATAAAAAATATAGAAATATCGCTTGTTAAAATAAAAAAAGAATTGCGCAAAATAAAATACATTTACTAACATTATTTTGAAACTTTATTGCATAATAATTCACACCGTAACATCGAGTGATCTTAATAGTACACATCAAGCTTGACACACTCCAACCCTGAATGTCCACTAGGACTCCGAATAAAGCTGTGCTGGCCAACACATGGAAGGTGACGAAGCCATAAAATGTGATAGTGTGTAAACTATGAATAAATTTAAAATTAGAAGTGCCTAAATACACGAGTGCACGGTGAACGGGTATGGACCCATACACACGTGATACAGAGCATAAGTAGAGTACAGTAACGTAAGATAACAATTATACCATCATAAGAAATCACCTATACTGGGAAATGCCACGAATCCTCGTCGATATGGAAACTTTACTACTAGAACCTGGAGGGGTGCAAAAATAGAAAATGTGAGTGTGCGAAAACAAAGCTTTTAAAAAATCATTCACTTATCAAAAGTAATAACCCCTCGCTGTGACACCTATATAATTTTCCAGAAAATCATACTACGTATAAGGATGAAATCAATTGTATACTATTAGTAAATCCAGAAGTTTACCATGATACAACATCTCATCAGCAATATAAATAATCAGGTGATTAATAATCCATGCTAGCACGTAAGTCAGAGTCACCTATAGTGTCCTATACGACTCACTCATATCTCATCAATCAATGCAAGCACGTAAGTCGGAGTCATCTATAGTGACCTGTACAACTCACCCATAGCTCATCAAATATCCCTGAACACGAGTCGGAACCACCTCTAGTGCTCTGTATGACATGACTAGATGTAAATAAGTATGCTCAAGTGCTATGATCATGTGAAGACTGTGTGAATAATCGCGGGTCACCTACGAGTCGGAACCACCTAATGTGGTATGTACGACAGGCCTATGCACCTACCTTGGATTCAAGGTGAGCGTAAGGTGCGGAAGGTGAACATCACGTGAAGGACTATGCCCTGGCCACAAGTAGGAGCACTAACACCGGGGTGCAGGTTTATGAGCTTTAAATGCATCTAATATGGCATGTACGACTCACAAGCAACATGTACAACAATGTCGAAGTTGCCTATCATTGCAACCTATACGACAAGGTCGGAGTTGCCTAAAACATAAATATAGTCATGCCATAACTCAATCATTTCAAATAAAATGTAAACGTAACCATGCATCTCACATTTCACAACATATACTCACCTTAACTTACATGTGCATCCTGCGTTCACCTTTGTACTTCAAAACATTCACAATAATTATGTGCAATAATATACCTATGGATATGCCATGATGCAATCCAAAAACTTAACCATATCGTAGTGCTTTCAAATATATATATATATATATATATGTACATATAATGTGGCATAAAATGCACAATCTATAACGACTTACTCCCGAACTATTTATTTTCGGGAATAATTATCGGTGACAAGCCCAACTAAACACTAGCTTAACTGAATATCAATACTTATGATTCCTTACTTCAATTTCTCTATTCCTCACACACTGTTTTATGACCACATTAACCACCAAATCATAAAGTTAAAACTCACATTTTCACCAATTCCTTCACATTGCTTAATTTCCCAAACAAGGCTTTTGTCTCAAATATTGTATGGCTACATCTAACGTCTCATTAGACTGCCTACGTATCCTAAACAGAGATCAAGCCATTCATAGCTCACAAATCCAGAATTCAAACCAAATCCGAATATATTCATTTAATCCAACATATACAACAATTACACTAATATTCAAACCACAACAATTAGGTCTCAAAAGCATAATTACAATAACAAGTTTGCATAAAAACACAATGTTGGCTTCCTGACCGTGCGCCGCTGCACCAGCCGTCGCGGGTGGCGGTCGGCCGCCCCGGCTCGTCGGAAAACTTAACTATTTCTAAAAATTCTTAAAATTTACAGAAATGAAGATCTTAAAGAGTAAAGCAGACTTTATACCCGCGCCCAAGGCCAATTTGGCCAGAAAACTCATGAAATTACCCACGAACCGCCGGAACCCTAGAATTGGGTGTGATTTAATTCGACCTCCAAACTTGCTCCGATGCCTCCACCATTGCTTGGGCTTTGCTCCTGGGTTCTAGGGAGGTGTTTTGGTAATAGTAATTGAAGGAGATGGTTTCACAATTGGTAGATCGCGAGCAAAGGTTCCCACGGCACCCATGGTGCAGATTTCCCAATTTCAAAGCCAAAATTTCTCCAATCAGGGGTGGAATAGGTAGAGGGAAGAATTCTAGGATGATTCCAAGTGATGAGGGGTCTTAATTTGCCGGAGAACCACCAAAAAATGCATCGAAATCAATGGTGTCGTCGGGTCGGCCCGAAATGGAAAAACCGGGTAAAGGGATCCAATGTATCCCTTTCCCTCATTTCCCCTCCTGTTTCCCTCTTCTAGTTGGTCACTCACCTTCCTCTCTCCACTCCCCATTCGACCACTCTTTCTCCAAGTTCCTGGGAGTACTCTCTTCATTTCCTCTCATTTTTTTCTTCTTTTTCTTCTTCTCCCACTTTAAAATAACGAAAAGATATTAATACAAAGATTATAAAAATATAAATGGTAACCAATACAAAAGTACCTCTCGGGTTCGCCACTCAACAAAACTTTAACCGTAACCCCAATTTCACTTCTACTTGTGCTTACGCGTCTGTATGATCGAGCTTTATCCGAATATGTTAAGAATCATGACAAAATATACAAGAATCACATACGTCCTTGAAAAATCACGCTTTGCCCATAGGGCAATTTCGTAAGTTCACGTATTAAAATTATAAAAACCATACTTTTTAGGGACGGGCTATCACAGAGCTTGTTTGATTTTGGTTTGTTTTATTCTCACTCTCCACTTAAACCCTACATCAAACTCTTCATTTGTTTTTTTTTTAAAAAGAAAAAAAGAAAAAAAAAACTTGTGTGTTTGTCTTTTCGATCACCAAAAAAGCGCTCAAAAAAAAGTATAGTAACCTAAAATAGATACGAATTAAAAATTCCTAATACTAAGAAATTGAAAAGCTTGACCCAACCCAATTTTCTCTCAGGAAATGCATTCTCTCCGTATTTCGATATGAATAGGTAAATTAGTCATTCACTTGTTTATCATAGATTGAGTTCATACAAATTTTGGATGATTAGGTATTACTAAACCAAATTTTAAATCCAATCTTGAAAGAAAATTCTAATCATTCACTTGTTTATCAATCAATACGTTTTGAAGATAATTTTGACTCATTGTCAACTTGATTTTTTGAATTTTTGCATCACATGCGAATATCAGTTGCAATAAGTTGGGAGTGAAACATTCTAACTGGTAAACGTACTCGTGTTATGATATTGTCTTTAGAAAAATATTACATATTTAAAAAGTTTATACATCTTAAATAATTATTTAATATCAGAAGGTTTAAGTCAATTAATATTAAATTTTTTGTGTATACGATACGAGGAGAGCCAAATCAGTAATATTTCTTTTACAACATAATCTTTTGCTACTTCCCATTTGAGGTTGCATAAAAAAATTGAATCTTTCATTTATCTTTAACTCGATTTCCCTACTCTTTTAGAAGCGATTGATGTAATCGAAGATCCCAGAAGGACAATGTCTTTAACTTATTAGATGTCACGTAATTCCTTTCACTTAATTAACATATTAATTTTAAGGATACTGTTATTAGCACTTTAAAAATTTCATTCTACAATTCTCATAAGTGTATTTTTCTTTATAATTATACAAAATTTGGAGTGCCAAATGAGATTTTTGAAATGCTAATAATAATTCCTAATTTTAAAGTCAAATAAAATCACAGATTGGGATGTACCAAACTTGCAAAGGAAAACTAACGAAAATAGTTTGAAAACTTTGAGTTTTAACGATAAGAACAAAATAAATGGTAAAATGAATAGTATCAAATTGATTTTTTAGTGTAAAAATGTGGTTTTTCGTTAAAGTGAATAATACTGGTAGTTTTTCGTTAAAGTTCTCAATTTGCAATAGCAACCCCTTCTCGAGAAAACGTCAATCTTATCTTTGTTGTTTGATTATTGATTGGAAGATTTAGGATTGGTTTTGTATTGCTATGCTTTGAAAAAAAAAATAGTTTCTGCTGTTCTATGAGAATAAGCTCATTTTTACTGCTTCACGTTTTTAGCTTTTTTTATTCAAAATTATGAAAATAAACTATTTTTAAATATTTACCAAACATCTTTTTTTAGCTCAATATTTTTTTATACTCATTTGGAAAAAAAATCATTTCAGAACCAAACCCAAAATACTTTATTACGCGGGTTTCCTTTCCTAATCGAAAGCAACGGAGAATTTTCCAACCAAAACGACGCCGATCCGAACCAAAATCCAAAATCCAAAACCCAAAACCCTAGCAATGCACCAGACAAATCGAGAATTTGAAAATTCATTGACGTTGGCACTCCAATTTTCTCAGCCCTACCCAGATCTTTTCTTCCACAATTTTTTTTTCTTCGTTTTATTTGTTTAATTTTTAGTTAAAAAAATTAAAAAATAAAAACATGGCTATGGCGGGGCTGTACAGACGAATCCTTCCTTCTCCTCCGGCAGTCGAATTTGCTTCCTTACAGGGAAAGGTGCAACCTTCAGATGCAGCTTCCCCACCCCTTTACTTACTTTTTCTTCAAAATTTTCATTTTTTTTAATTTCCCCCAATATTTTTTGGCGATGCTTAAAATTTAGCATTAAAGCTTAAAACTTTAATTTTTCTGTAGATACCCTTTCTATAATACAATCTGAATATGTCATCTTCCCCAATTTTTGTTTGAGGTTAAATTTCTGTAAGAATTTTGAGTTCAGTGTATGTATGATCCAACATTTGTTTGGCTGCCTGTGTTTTTGGGAATGTAGCAGGTTGTTAATTAAGTCAAGTTATATTGTTTGTTCTTGTGTTTTTTCTAGGGAGTGGATGATTTTCCTGCTTGTGATGTGCTTCTGTTCTGAACCATTTTTTTCGGTTACTAAATTTGATGGTTTTCGAATTGCAGGAGCTTTTTCTTGAAGCCATTCAGAGGGGAACTATGGAGAACTTCTATAGGTTGATTTCTTATTTCCAGACACAATCCGAGCCCGCTTATTGCGGATTGGCGAGCCTGTCCATGGTTTTGAATGCCCTTGCTATTGATCCCGGAAGGAAATGGAAAGGTAAGGTTTTAAGTTTTATCAGCTAATATCATTGAGGTATCATTCTGTTGAACCAGCTAGTGAATGGCATTTTAAAGTTCATCGACAAAGTCAAGTTTCGTTATATTCGTCATCCTGTTAATCGCATCCATTTAAGTTCTATTGGATAAATTCTGACTAGATTGACTTTCGAAATTGTCCAGGTCATTACAATCTGAGCTGTTGATGATAAAACTGTTTTAGACTAATTGCTTTATTGTCCTATCGAGTATATGTTTAGAATGATGAAGCATAGCTCTGGTGGATTTAAGAATTTGCTCTTGGTTAGCTCTTACTAGTGTGACACTTTAGTATTGTATGATGTTTTTCCTTGCTATTCTTTACGCAGTATAAAATGCATTACACATTATAGCAGTTGTTGCCTCTCATTATTTCCTCCACCTAGTTTGCAAACGCCCTGACTATAATAAATGTTCTGTTTAGTGATTTTCTGTGGAGTGAGATCCTATAATCTATAAGTATTAACACAGAGTTCTTTTTTCACAGGACCCTGGAGATGGTTTGATGAATCTATGTTAGACTGCTGCGAGCCTTTGGAGACTGTCAAGGAAAAAGGCATCTCATTTGGGAAGCTTGTCTGCTTGGCTCACTGTGCTGGAGCAAAAGTTGAAGCCTTTCGCACAAATCATAGCACAATTGATGAGTTTCGTAAATATGTATTGAGATGTTCTACTTCTGATGATTGTCATGTGATCTCATCATACGATAGATCAGTTCTCAAACAGGTTATATTACTATTCTGCTCTACATTTTCTTTGGTGGAACCATTAGTCAATACTATTCTACTATACTGATGATTATCTCAGTTATGGATTCTGCTTATATGACCCCGCGTCACACTCCCGAGTTCTTCGAAAGCTGATCAGGTATTGACTAGTATAAATCAAATTTTTACTGCAGACGGGTACTGGTCATTTTTCACCAATTGGTGGCTATCATGCTGAAAGAGACATGGCGCTTATTTTGGATGTTGCACGTTTTAAGTATCCTCCCCATTGGGTACCCCTCAAAATTCTTTGGGATGCCATGAATAATGTTGATTCATCTACTGGACAACGCAGAGGGTATGCATTCGTGTGTGCTAGTGAATATTACCTTTATACTAGATACTATCCCAATTATATTGGATATGCATGTCAGAAGCAATTTCTATATATTTTTGCTAGATATGAGGTGCATTGTGTATGTTAACAACATTCTTAATTATTAAATTCCATTTTTTGCGCAGGTTCATGCTTATATCCAGGCCTCACAGTGAGCCAGGACAACTTTATACTCTGGTATGATTGGCAATTTGATGACTTCGAACCCAAACTGAACTCTCCGGTACACTAGCACACAATTAATTTTGGTTGTCTGAGTGTGCATGTCTTTCTCTGCAGCTTATTAATTTGTTTATATACTTTTCCTGTATTAATGAATATGACCTCTGCCTGTATGATGTGTTGTGATTTGTTAAATTATCATTATTGTATGCCATTTCTCTGATATGCTGTGTATTTGTGTTTGACAAAAGTATTTATGTTTGTGTGCTGGAGTTATAAAAAATCTTGGATTGCTTACTTATTATATGATCGTTGGAGATTTTTATCTATTTCTCTTTGGGATCTGTTGCAGAGCTGCAAACATGAGAGTTGGGTTGGTGTTGCAAAATACTTAATGGATGATGTTCCTCTTCTTCTAAATCGGAGGAGGTGAAAGACATTCAAGAAGTTCTCTCTGTTGTTTTCAAGTCACTTCCATCCTATTTTGGGCAGTTCATCAAGTGGGTTGCAGAAGTTCGGAGACGAGAGGATGGTGGCCAAAGCTTAAGCCCAGAGGAAAAAGCTAGGCTTGCTGTCAAGGTGATCTGTCGTCTAGAGCTTCACATTTACTTATTTTCAGTTTCTTTGTTTTCCCTTGTCCTGCATAAAATCGTCCCATTTTTTATCTTTAAGAACCCCAAACTATTTTCTAGTTTTAATCTCAATACCCAAGTTTTTACTTGCAGGAGGAGGTACTGAGACAAGTCCAGGACACTGGCCTTTTTAAACACGTGGCAGAATTATTATCTTCAGCACATTCATGCTGCGGAAACTTATATTCTGGTCATGAAGAAAACTTGCCCAACATTGCTGCGAGCGTTTGCTGCCAAGGCGCACAAATTTTGTCGGGGAACTCTACCTTCTCGGGGGTGTATTGCTGTCAGGAAACATGTGTGAAATGCTTCAAGGCAAATGGCGACAAGCCAGTTACGGTTGTGAGTGGGACAGTGGTAAATGGTGGAACCGAGGAGAAGATGGACATGCTTGTTCCTTCATCAAAAACAAATTCAGGATGTTCTTGTGCAATTGGGATTCATCCTGCTAGCAATGACGTTCTAACAGCACTTCTACTGGCCTTGCCCCCAGGTACATGGTCTGGGATCAAAGACGAGAAGCTTTCAAAAGAAATATCAAACCTTGTTTCCACTGTAAATCTTCCTACTTTGCTTCAAGAAGAGGTAAGTTTAAATATTTTGTAGTTTTCAGCTAATTTTTCCAGTTAATTTGCGTCTTTGATCAGATAATTTGAATCTGCGCCTACTTTCAAAGATTTTATAACATTACCTACTGGCTTGGCACAGGTTTTGCACTTGCGACGCCAGCTCCACCTTCTCAAGAAATGCCAGGAGGATAGGGTAGATGACGATCTTGGCTCTCCTCTCGCTTAGACTTCTCTCATGTTTACTCTGATTTTCCTATTATCGCCAACGGACATCAAGCCAAAAAAAGCTTACTTATCAAGTTACGGATAGATAGAGGCACTGCAGAAAGCTATATGTATTACCGAATTGAATGATCAAGAAGAGTCATGGTGAAGAGCCGGTTGTTTCCCTCAGATGAAGCCGCTGGCTGAGTTGCGTGCTAACTGAAATACCGATGTTGGGATGTTTGCACTGTATTTTATGATCAAGATTCTTGATCACTGTGGTTTTTGGTTGAATTTAATCTAATGCCACCCAATTTTCTTGTGTCAGTTTGGTCTGACTCTCTACTCGCACAGTCACAGAGTTGTTGAGAATTGAGGTGCAAAGATGAATTGGATTGCAAATTCAATTGATGCTATACATACTATGTACTTGAAGAGCTCGTATAAATATAGTGGTGATATGTGAGGTAAATTATTTTCGCACGTATTTTGTCTGTGCACGTTCTTGTTTATTTTTTAAATTGTTCTTATTTGATTAATTCAAATGCTAAAAGTAAGTATGAGTCCTGTAATTGATATGTTTACTTATTTCTATTGCATCTTTAACCACGGTTGGCTATGATTACAACTGAAATGAAAATCGATAATTTTGTGGTTTAAAAACACCATATCTCATGTTAATCATCATATGTCATGACTATTCTGACCAATGATATGGTCACAATTGTAATAATGTGAATTTCTTTTGTTGCTCGTATCTTACAAGACAATCATAGTTAAAGCCATCAACTTTCAAATAATTTAGTATCGAATTCTCCTTTTAACATTGGCGCATAAAAAAGCCAAAGGGCTCCCATGTTGAAAACATGGGGCGATCACCAACGCAAACGGCACGTCGATCTGCATCGCGAAAAAAGCACAAAATTAGCTTTACGTTCTTGGAAGAGTCTTGGAAGAGATCCGACTCAAAAAGAGGATTTTGGTCACCCACCCCAAATAAACGGTCAACGAATTACAACGGTGTTTTCAAAATTTAATAAAAAAAAAGGACGGAATATTATTTGCTTGCTGAAAGCCCGAAAGCTGAAGAAAAGCACTTTTCCTCGAGAATAATCTCACGCTCCAAATCCCACTCACTCTCGCTTTCGTATTCGAATCCTCTTTCTGAATCGAATTCCCACCTCGAGATTAATGGCGGTGGTCGGCCTCTACCGCCGGGAGCTTCCCTCTCCTCCTGCAATCGAATTTGCTTCCCCAGACGGAAAGGTTCTCTGCCGCCCTCTCTCTCTAGAACAGAATGAATTGCATTTGGGTATTTTTGGTTGGTTCTGTGTGAATGTGAATTTTAATTTTATCATTTTACAGAAGTTATTTACTGAAGCTCTTGGAAATGGAACCATGGAGGGGTTTTTCAAGTTGATCTCTTACTACCAAACGCAGTCGGAGCCTGCTTATTGCGGGCTGTCCACCCTCGCCGTCGTCCTCAACGCCCTCGCCATTGATCCCGGAAGAAAATGGAAAGGTGATTGCTTTTCTCAATTTGCCCAATTTCCCTAATGTACTTTTTGATTTAGAGCTAAATTGGGATTTGGGTTTAGGGTTTTGTTCAATTCTGGTGCTCCAAATGCCCTTTGGATTATAAGGGCGTATACTTTGTGCTTGTTTGAGACTGCTTCTTGAATAGCTAAAAGTACTTTTTGACAATAAAAAACGTGTCTGACTAAGTTTGGCATAAAAACTTAAAAGCAAGTATTGGTTGTTGAACTAGCAGGTGCTTCATGAAACACTTTCAAGTTTTCAAGTGCTTTTCATAGAATCACATGGATTTGTAATAAATTTTTTGACATGTTTATGATAAAGCACGGCAAAAGTGCTACCTAGATAAGCAGTCCCAACGAGTCTTTTGTTTATTTCCCTGATCTCCTGTGACTTTTTGTGAGCTTAGGCCCATGGAGATGGTTTGATGACTCAATGCTGGATTGCTGTGAGCCTTTGGCAAAGGTCAAAGCCGAAGGCATCACATTCGGGAAAGTTGCATGCTTGGCGCATTGCAACGGCGCTGAGGTCAAGGCATTACGAACCTATGAAAGTTCGGTGGATGAATTTCGTAACCATGTCATTTCGTGTACTTCTTCAGAGGATTGTCATGTCATCACATCTTACCACAGAGCTGCATTTAACCAGGTTTTGTGAGACTCGTCCTTTCTACCACTGAGTTGTCTCCACATTGAAGTTTTGTCTTTGCATATCTAGGAAATTGAGTTAGTTTTTTTTATCTTGTATCATTGAGTTGTATTTGTGATCATTAGTGACATATTAGCACTGCTCTATCTGGTTACAGACTGGAAGTGGTCATTTTTCACCGATTGGTGGCTATCACGCTGGAACAGATATGGTTCTCATTTTGGATGTTGCTCGATTCAAATATCCTCCTCATTGGGTTCCCCTTTCGCTTCTTTGGGAGGGAATGAATACTATTGATGAAGCAACTGGACATCATCGGGGGTATGCCCTTAACTTTTAAAGTTCCATATATTAAATTGTCGGGGTTAAAGGGTTCAGGTCTTTATAATCATAGACTTTTAAAGTTCCATATATGAAATTATTGGGGTTAAAGGGGTTCAGGTCTTTATAATCATAGACTTTTGTTGTTCAAACTGCAGTAGCATTTCTTGCTCACTTTTTGTCTTTGTATAATATCTTCCCTTAATTCGTAGTTGTTAGTGCACCTTTCATATGGGTCATAGACTCATAGGCTGTAGTTTTTTGTATTAAATTCTACGGTGGGGACCTTATCGTTTTCCTATTGATTACTTCACTTGCAAACCATTTACATTCTAAAATTTGACTCTTTCAGGTACATGATCATTTCAAGGCTTAACAGAAGCCCGTCTATTCTCTACACTGTGGTATTGCTCTTGTAGGCCGATCTGTTTTATGTAACCTAGTTCCTGTGATATTTCATGTGAAAATTTCAGAATTACACTGTATCCTTGTGGAAAAACTTAGATATGACTAAACTCGGGTGAATGCAAATAGACCTTCGGATGAACTTAGATATGATTAAAATTGGATGAATACAAAATCCACACTGTTTGTTTCTATATACATTGCTATTGCAAACTTTCTCCACGATAGATATTTGTTTATCCTTCGTGGTTACACATTTTTGGTTTATTATTCTATTTCCACTTGCCATAAAACATTAGATCTTATTGTAACTGTGAAATTGTCCCCAGAGTTGCAGACATGAAGGTTGGAGTAGTATTGCGAAGTACTTAACAGAAGATGTTCCTCTCTTGTTGAAGTCGGAAGATATAAAAGATGTTCAGAATGTAATCTCTGTTGTCTTCAAATCACCACCTGCTGACTTGAGAGAGTTCATTAAATGGGTTGCCGAAGTTCGGAGACAAGAGGATGGGACTCTGAGCTTAGACAAAGAGGAAAAAGGAAGGCTCGCTATCAAGGTTTGTTATAGCCCTTTCTTTATTCATGTTTTCATGCATGCATTCTGGTTTTCTGCTTCTGTTCCTGTCTTCTTCTTCTTCTGTTTTTTTTTTTTTTTTTTTTTTTTTTTTTTGTTTTTCCAGATAAGCAAAAGAGAGTGTTAGATTTATGACATTCTATACCCGTCCATTTCTTCTTATACTTGAAATGAAAAGAAATACATAGTTGGGGATTTGTGATTTTGAGGTTCTAATTGGCATTTCAGGAAGAGGTATTAAAACAAGTAAGAGAAACGGAACTCTTCAGACACGTAAGCGAATGGTTGGCTTCTAAATCAATCTGTAAAGACATATCACAAGGTGGTAAAGATACATTGCCTGAAATTGCTGCCAATGTTTGTTGTCAAGGAGGACAAGTATTTTCCGGGAGTGTCAGTTCATTTGATCGAGCGTGCTGTAGGCAAACTGACGTGAAACTCTTGAAATGCAATGGTGAAAAGCCCGTTACTGTGGTGTCGGGGACTGTAACAACAAATGGCGGTGAACAAGCAGTTGAGATGCTGGTTCCCTCATGTCAAACCAAACCAAGCAGCTTGTGTTCTTATTTTCAAGGTAGCTGCATAGGGATGCATCCATCTACAGGTGATGTTCTAACAGTACTTCTATTGGCTCTGCCTCAACAAACATGGTCTGGCCTTAGAGAAGAGAAGCTACTGGCAGAAATCAATTGCCTCATATCACCCGATTGTCTACCAACTTTGCTTCAAGAGGAGGTAAATTCTCTTTCTTTGGAGCCTCAACTAATTATTACCAGTCTGATTTTTCTCCATTGTTTGATCAGTTTAGCACCCAAGACCTAATTTACCCAAAAGCACTCTTTTAGGGACTAGCCTGGAGTTCTTTGAACCTAATTATTTACGACACACACGGAGTAAGAAGCACAGACCTTAGATTTGATAACTCAGGGTTTGAATGCCCGTTGCAGGTTCTCTACTTGCGACGGCAAATCCGCTTCCTCATGACTGATAAGTGATAATGGAGCTGTATCTCTTTCAAGATGTGTATTCTCTTCTTATGCTTAAGTTCTTAAAGCATAAAACACACATACACCCAAAATCAAACACAAAAGGAGTGAAATTTTTCGGACGATTTGGTGAACATAATAATTTTTTTTTTTCATGTAATTGTACTATGATTTAATCCTAATTAACATTCAGTTGTAAGATTTACCAATAAACTTACATTGGCAATATCCAGAGCATAAACTGAAAGGTTATTTGCGATACTAGGGAGGGGAGATTGTAAACCTAAAACAAGACATTGAATGAAATAAGCTAGAGAAAATCACAGCATTCTCGGGTTCCTGCTACTCGTAGCAGACGTGCTCAGGATGATAAGCCAGTCAGCAGTGCAGTGCGTTGTATGAAGGCCAGAAGAACGACCAAGAACTACGAGAAAACTTCCACCTTAGCGCCCATAGACTGCCGAACAGCACCTCATACTGCCCTATAGACGTGTTGTCGTCAAGTTCCTCATCACCATAAGTAAGGCTTTGTATCCCATATGGGATGCCACGTATTTCTTCAATCTTCTCTTTCACTGCCTTGATTATGTGGGAAGGGTTCACATCCACCTTAGTGATTGTACCGTTTGGCCCCGTCACATTGATCTGCACCAGACAGTCTAACAATAAATCAGCACCTGACTGTGCCGTACTGAGCTAGTGTTTTCGTGCCCATGAGGCGAGTGCCATCAAGGAAGAGACATCGCTGCCCGTTAACGTCTTCAATCATTGGTGGGGGAATCCAAACATCGTCAATGATGTCCGAACTCTTAGCTGGAAGTCCCAGTGCGGTAACATCAGGTGTTCGGACGTAGATTGTTAATGGAGAGCTGGAAAAGTACCAATTTGTAACGTTGCAATCCGATATAACTTTTTAGCATTTCATCGTGACAGTAAGGTTGTTGGTCACAAATTGGGAGGTCTAACATGCTCTCAACTATTACCTTGACATCGAAAATCGTATGCGAAGTACTTAACTTGATTTCAAATGAATCCTCATCATACTCTGGTTTTGGGTCTGGTTTTCTTTCCGGTTCTTGGAAATGGGAGTGCTTCACTAGGTTTTCTTTCGAGTTGCTCTCTGTCTTCCGAAATGTTAAGCTTATTTCGTCGGTTTCTTCAACTTCTTCAGCTGGATCGCCACACCGAAAAACTGCATAAACAACACAATTCCTTTCCATGTTGTAGGTTTTCAGGCACTCAGCATCATCAAGCAACTGCCCCTTGTAAAAAAGTTTCTGACTTGTACATGGGATCCCCATCTTCTCACAAATATATTGCTTGATGTCCATTACGGAACTGACCTTGTAGATGCTAAGCGCGATCGTTTCTCCAACCTGCGGCATTTTGATGGACAGTTTCGAAGAAGAACCGAACACCCAAATTGTTGATCTCTTGTTCACATGGTAAAACCCTAGGGTTTTCTCATCATCATCAAGATAAACCATATGGTCACCATGAAAAAGCCATAGTTTGTCAAGTTGCACTTCAGCAAACTTTCCAGCAATCTTCAAATCACGAACAGTATCCGATTCACTCACCGAAATCAATTCTTCCCAACCGCAACCATGGGCGATAATCGGAAATCTAGTGCGATAATCGGAAATCTATACCCTACCGGCAACAACGTAAAAGGAAGGTTCTTATTGAGATTGCACTCACTAATCCTCGTGCAATCCTCTACAAACTCCTCACCGTGGCTCACCACGAAGTCGTCCAAACCAAACCCTACCACGCTCCCTGTCACCACCTTAATCTCCCGGCCAGTAAACCACGGTTTTACGTCCACCAAAACAGGTCCCCAGCGAGGCACCTTGACATGGATACTCACACCATCAACTTTGGGATTAATTTTCTCAGAACAAAAGATTGCATGAACAGTAGACCAACTTTCAACATTGCACGCTGCTAGGGTTTCGTTGTCACGATCCAGCACTTTGCCATTGTAAACTAGGGTTTGTCGCTCCACCGGCATGCCTTCCACGCACTGGATCATGGCCTTGAGATGCTTGATAGTATCTGAACTCTTCAATTTGAACATAATGATATCTTTGTCGGACGTTTTCTTGACCAGTATGTCGTAGGGTCTGAACTTCATCTTGTTTGTCATTAGACTGCATAGAATGTAGCCGAGAACAACCACTCTATGAATGGAGCGAGTTTGCAGGTCATTGATATTTATAATGCTACTTTATGAATCCGTGTATGACAAAGATTAAACTACAAGAGAAGGGATACAAGTATTATAATTCAAACAAGAGTATGACAACAACTCCCGATGAGATCTGGTTTAACGCAAAACAGCTAGGGTTTAGGATTTTATGCATGTAGTCCAATACCTAGTGGATAGAGAGTTTGACAGAAGAGTTTGATTTCTATTTATGTGCGTTCTAAAGTTGAAACTCCCCCTTTCCTAAATTATAGTAATAGTCTCAAACTCTTCCCTTTTCCTCTAATGATAGTGGAGTGGATAAAAAGGGTTTAGGGTTGGATTGAGGCACATCAGCCAGGCTTGTTTTATCATCATTTACTTGGTGCGTCTAATAACTGTGCACGACAAGCCCATTTTTCCTCCCAACACTGAGGTTTAGGGTTTGTTTGCGATATTTTGGAGGGGCTATAAGTGTTTTTCGACAACCAAATACGTTTTTATTTGTGTTTGACAAAAAAAGTTTCAGAAGCATCTCCTAGAAAAGTATTTATTGAAGGAAGTTGAGGTTTCACCATGATAAGTAGTCCACCTATTATAAGCACATGCAAGGTCGTTTTCGATTTGTGATGCATACTCTTAATGTCTCCTTATGTGTGATGAATTTTCAAACCTAACATGTGGTAAAAATAACACAAATTAAATAATGTGGAGCACGTGTGAAAAAAAACATAAGCTTTTATCTATTTGGCTGAACAAAATGATCTTAATTACATTGTGTAAGACAGGCTCAACTATTTATACTTTAGAACAATCTTTTATTAATTAAGATCAAACACAATAAACTCAATCAATCCTCTAAACTGAGCTGGCTGCAATCGTATCTATTGCATATTGACATCTACATGCAAAGTTCTAAAAGACATTAGGTGTTGGTCGGACCGACGAGCAAGGACTTAGCACCTAGGAGGTGGTCTAATTTTTTTTTTTTAATTTTAACTTAATTTATTATATAACATATAAATAAATGTCTACTTATACCTAAAAAAAATACATAATTGTATTGGAATACATAAAGTGCAAAATAAAACGACATAATTAAAGGGAAATTTTATTTGAACACAAACAACCTCAATTCACACCCAACTTAAACTTAATTGTGAATTGTCTTCTTAGCCCTATTGTCTAATTACCATCAAGTACAAGATGAAATTAATTCAAAAATAAAAATGTTATCAATAAACCCACCTCCAATAATTAAACCTTATCATCACGCAATAATTTTTTTACGTTCTGTTTTGGCTAAAATCCTAAGACGTTGTCAACGAGAGAAATAAGCTCTTTTTGACGGATAGATAATAATTTTGAAGTTTTAAATCATTCAAATAAAATATGAATTAATTTATGTTAATTTTTTATTTGATTTCAATTCTTTTGTTTAGGCTTTAGTAGCAGTTGTATACTGCCTGCAAATAAGCTTGAAATCACGGATAATAAAGGTGGATGATGTATTTCTTGGTATTTTGTTTCTCTGCCACAAAGATCCATATATATGGCTAATCATCTTTTTTAGTGATAGTGTCCCAATAAATATATGTCAGAACCAAACTTTTTTGTTAAGAGGAAATAGCCATAACTCGAGCATAAAATTGAAATTAAGGATTATTGAAGTCAATAATTGAACTGGGTAATTATACTTGTTAAAATCTCGTCGAAACAATAAACTTGTTCGGAGCACGAGGTGCGAAAGAAACCCACATGATACCTAAACTTTTGCAAATTAAAAATATTTTGAATACATCAACGCTTGGTTTGGTTCGGTGAAGAAAAAAAGCAACGAGAAATATGTAGCAAAAGAAGGATTAAGCGTGAGACAAATATGTAAGATATATTGTTCTCTTTACGTCTTGAATGAGTTGTAGAATACTCATTTTATGTTTTTATTTACTCAACGGGTGTAAAGATAAACTTACATACTGAATTGGGTTTATGAGGGTAGCGTAGGTAGTAAATTTGGGTTCAAGGAGATATTGATGGTTTAATTAAAATTAATATGGGTGTAGAGAGTAAGTTGGGTGTAGAAATAGGTTGTATGGGTTCCAATAAAATTTCCCTAAGTTAAAAAGTACTAGAACATATTAAAAACATGGGGAACAAACATATAGTAAGTGTTCATCTAAGTATCCAACAAACCCTTTTCAATGTATCGAAAAAATAAAGTACAAAATAAAAATTGTCTATTTTCTGTCTGCGAAATAGACGGGAGCCTAGGCCAGTCTAGGTGCCTTTCTTGTTTTTTAAACGTCTAAGAATTAATTATGACAGTGGTCAGCTGCCTAGCGCCGTCTAAACGTGAACTTTTAGGACACTGCCTATATTTCCTTCTTCAAGATCTAAATTGTGGTTATCAAAACAACTGAAATTTGTTGATGTGCTTTAATAAAAGTGCTTTTATAAAGCACTTATCACCAAAAATGTTTACTATTAGAAGTAATCCATAATATTTTATCAAAAAAAAAAAATCCATAATAAAGATCTGGTAAATGTTAGTACGGAGGTGTGTACACCGGCAGAATCATACATAATGGGGCCGCCATGTCTAGTATTTAATTAGATGTCGATAGAAGAGAAATAAAAAAGGCTGGAATTGGCAGTGATGTGTCATGAATATTAGGACATCAATTAATTTTGATAGTGATTCGGTGTCTACACACCATTCATGGTTCCAACGTAATTGGAATGGTCACACGGGACCAGTAGAGGATAGGAGGACAACCATGTCATACGTTGCATTTACTTGTCCATTTAGAAGGCAAGATATGATGCGGTTTTTAACTCATGGCAACCCTCCCCATTGCGAACTGTGCTTGCCACAGCTTGCTTGAGGGTTAGTGGTGGGCGGGTTTCATTGAGTCCATGCGTCCGTATCAATACCCCTTGGTCTCCTCCTGGACAAGGTGTAATTAAGGTTAATGTGGATGCTAGTTGGAAACGGGTGGATGGGTACTACCATATTGGTGTTGTGATGCGGGATTCAGCCTCTTGGTGCTTGGCGGTGTGTAGGAAGAAGATCCGTGCATCAAGTGTTTTGGCTGCAGAGGTGAGGGGTCTTTTGGAGGGATGTGTGATGGCGAGACAGTGGGGCTTCCATAGTATTGTGGTGGAATCTGACTCCAAGGAGATAACATCATGGCTAAATGGATGCATTGACCATGGATCTTAAGAGGTCTTTTCGGTGTTGTGTGATATTTGTGGGGTTGGTGAGGCCTTTAGTTCGTGTGTTTGGTCTTGGGTGCCAAGATCAGCAAATGAAGCGGCGGATTATGTAGCGTTGCATGTTAGTGTGGAGATGAGCGACTTAGTCTAGGTTCAACGACCCCCATCTTCATTTGTCCATATTCTGAACAAAGATGGGCTACCATGCCCTCCAAGCTAGCTTTTGTTAACTGGGTCTTAGGGTGACACGTGTACTCCTCCATGTCGTAGTTTATTTCCTTTATTCTCTGCTTTCATGTCGGATGCTGTTAGCCCTATGTGGCTTTCTGTACTCTCTTTGGCTTAGGCCCTGGTTAATGATATTTCCAGTTTCCAAAAAAAAAAATTTGGCAGTAATTCATTTGTAATTGATATGCTTTTTACCGACCTCATTAGTTATTGACAAGCCTCCCTTTTATTCAACTCTATGTAGTGACTAATGTTAATTTTATTTGTAGCGGATAGCTCTCGTTAGACCATTGTTTTAGCCCATTTTGGACGTTCGTGATTACTATAAGCTTTTTAGGTGCATTCGTCGATATTAGCTGCACAAAATGAGGTTAGCAAATGACTATTAGCCTTTCACGGATATGCATTTTACGCACGTCTTTAGCCAAGGATAAGTACGCCTTTTATCCAATGTATTATGAACTAATGTTAATGAGTACTGTTAATTTTTCTCGTAGTAAATAGCTCTCAGTACCCTTAAACAAGAGCTGAAACCCTAAAATATCTATGCAGGCAATTAATAAAAGATGTTAAATAATCAAGTAGGAGTTGTGGAGTATGCTTCATCGATCGGAGGTTTTGAACCGTAAGTGCTTTTTCAAATTAAGAACTCTGTTGGAAAACGTAGAGCTGGAGTCAAAATTGCTAACCACCTACACAGATCTAGGTCCCCAAAGACTGCAGTTGTGGGGTGCATAATGCGCCAGGAGGTAGATTGTCAGTCCTCCTGTTACCGTGTCATTCACATCCCCTTCTATTTGTACGGTCACGTTAAATCATGTTTATATTTTATATTAATTTTTTAATAGAGATAATAAGACAAAAAGTAATAAGAATATAAAATGTTGATGTGATTTAACCGTGACCGCATAAATAGAAGGAGATGTGAACAGCATGGTAACAGAAGGGCAGACTATCTGCCTCTGATGCGCCATGCATCCTCATGGTCCTATTGAATGGACGGTTGAGAGAGAGAGAGAGAGAGAGAGAGAGAGAGCATAACCTTTTAAATGCCATAGATTTAAGTTTGGAAGATGATTTTCTTTTTTTAGGAAAAAACATAAAAAAAAATTTGAAAACTTTGAGTTTTAATCAAAATGACAAAAATATGTTGTAAATGAATAGTACCATGAGTGACTTTTTAGAGTAAAAATCTCATTTTGGTTAGAAGTGAATAGTATCGGGAGTATTTTGTTAAAACTTCCTTTCTTGTTTTTCAATTCCAATGGGTAGGAAGGAAAAAAATAGTACTCCAACTTATTTATGGAAAGAAAATTTATCTTGGAATTATGTATATCAAGTCTTTCATATTAGGCCGGAGAAAATGAGTGTAATATAAATATATTGAACTCAATACTCATATAGAAATCATTCTTATAGAGAGTTGGAAAGTTTGAGTTTGATACCAATAGATTGAACTCATGTGCAATCTATTAAATTCAGAGTGTTATATCAACATATTAAACTCACACTAGTGT